CTGGGAGACGACAGGGAGGGCGGGGGACCCAGAAGAGCCCCCACCCCGCCCCTGCGTGAAGGGCCCCGCGTGGGCGCACCTTTCCCGCCCCGCCCACCGCCAAGCCCGCGCCTCGCCGTCCGCGCCCTGGCCAGCCGCTCACCGGACTTCGGAGGGTAGCGGTAGGCCGAGTTCGCCTGAATGTCGATATCCTCCACGCCCGCGATGCGGCGGCTCAGGATGGAGCCCATGGTGCGCGGCAAGAAAGGTCGGGCCAGGGACGGGCGCGGCGGCAGCGGCACCTTCACGCAGACATGGCCCCGACCAGGCCGCACAGACGCTTCCCTACGGCCGAAAAGCCTCAGCTTCCGAGCCCCCACCCCCGGCTCGCCCGGGGCCCGACGCCAAGGCGGTCCTCGGCACCCCCCGGATCCGAGGCATCTCGGGAAATGGAGTCCCCTCGCCTCTGAGGGCACCGGGCTACGGGGCGGAAAGCATGCCTGTTAACTACACTTCCCAGGACGCTCCTCGCCCGGGTGCGCTGAAGTTGTTGACCAGCGCTCCGGGACATACCAAATGAACTGAAATCCAAGAGGCGGAAACATCAACCGCACCGCAAATTGTCCTGTCCTCTACATTTCAGGCACAGCACTAAATTGTAACTTTTTAGCCTCTAATAATCTGTTCATATATAGACCCTTCTATTTACCCCTTTCCATTTTACTCCTCTCGGAAATATCTCCCTGAGCCAAATGGTTCTCCCCACTTCCCAGGGTTTAACTCCTGCCCTGGCCAGCAGAGGGCAAACTTACCTACCACCGGATAAGAGCTGGGGTGGAACCCAAGCTTACCTGGAGAGGTGCTCAAAGAGGAAGTAATGCGCTTGCTTTTAGCCTTTTCCAGAATTCAAGGGATCTCTCTGGCTCCACCTCCAAAGCAATCACTTTGAAGACAGAATTTTACAGCCCCCTTCAAAAAGGCAGTAGACCTCTCCCCATTTTACAGATAAAGGAACTGAGGCACAAAAAAAGGCGAGCCACATACAAGATCAGGATTAAAGCCTCACGGTTGCAACAAACTTTGCTAACTTTTGACTTAACACAAAACTCAGCAGGAAACACAGGGATGTGTTTATACCTAGTTTTCAGTTGAGAAACAGGGGTTCCTAGAAGAAAGTGACTTCCCAAATAGAGCATGCTGTATCAAGACAGTAACTAAGGAGGGCAGTGGCTGGCTAAGAGTCTCAAATGAGAAATTCACCACAGGCCACATTAAAATGAATCCTATACAGCCCTGAACGGGTAGCTCAGTGGGTTAGAGCATCCTCCCAACATGTTGAGGTTGTGGGTTCTATCTCCTGTCAGGGCATATACAAGAAGCAACCAATGAATGCATATACATTGATAAGTGAAACAATAAATCAATGTTTCTCTCCCTAAAAATCAGTAATTAAAAAATTAGTCCTATACCTTTCTAGAGACCAGAATCCAGAATTCAACCTCCTATTGCCAGATGACTAGGAAGCCAAAACTAATAAAAGAAGTGAAGGACTTGGATGATTGTGAGGAAGAGGCCATGTCTTGGGAGAACTTGATTAAATATCTCTGCTCCACAACAAATATTCCTATTTACTGAGTACCTACTATGTACTAGGCATTGTGTTGAGGGCTTTGCACATATTCTCATTTAATTCTCTAATGTCTGTTCTATTTTTCATTCCCAATTTATAGCATAAGACAGTAAGGCTGGGAGAGGGGAAGTACCCCACTCGGGTCACCTAGAATATAAGTGGTAAAGCCAGAATTTGAGCCAGGCCACTCCTTTTACCACCTACATTCCCCTGCCATCTCTCAGAGACAGGAATGTTCCAATGTGCCAGATTTCCTATCGCTTGCCCCCGGATGGGCCTAAAGACACCCCCACCCCATGATCTTTCTTCCCTTATTTTAAATTTCTTTCTCTTGAATCACATAACATTTGCACATATACACACATAGATATTCCACCACTGCACTCAATTTACCAGCCTCCTTCTTTGTGGGGAGGAAGGGGGAGTACTGAGGACTTCAATGTTTCCGCCGAAAAATAACCCTAGAAGCATGTCCTCCCTATGGATCCTGGGCTAGGGAGTCCTTTCCATGGACTGGATGTTTGATTAATTAAACATTTCTCTTAAAAGAGCTTTAGACTTGCAGTGCATTTTCTGTGCTTATGCATGCCCCACTGGTAGAAAGGTCCTTTCTGATTTGGTACTATTTCCACTATCAACATCTTGACTGATTCACTTTATTTATTCAACAAATATTTATCACACAGTTACAATATGACAGGCAAAGAGCCAGGCAATTGGGATCAAATGGTGAGATTGCCAGATATGCAGGCTAGTGAGGAAAAAGACACTTAAAAGGGTAAAAAGTATAAATACAAGATGTGGTAGGTGCTATGGGGGAATGGATTGAGATGAAACGAAATAATAGCAAAGACCTACTATTGATAGGGAAGTCAGGGAAGGCATCACTGAGTTGTTGACATTTAAGCCAGGAGGCAAACTCTGAGAGAGTAGGCCAGGTTCCAGACAAGGGGGACAGCATGTACAAAGACTCTGAGGCAGCAAAGAGCTGACTGTGATCCAGGAGCTCAAAGGCCAGTGTGGTTAGAACCAAGTAAATGGAAGAATATGGGGACAGAGATCAGGAAGTGAGGCAGTGGCCAGATCTCAAGACCCCCTCAGTCAGCAAGCATTGGGTAATTTGAAACATAAAAAAAGACCCTAGGCACAATTCATGGCCTCCTCGGGTAAGTCCCTCAAGACTGTATTTCCCAAGCCTCTTGAGAGGGCAGGGTCCTCACCTATTCACTCTTGTGTTCCCAGAGCCAGGCACCCAGTGTGTATCTGATAAACAAACATATCTGTGAAATGACTGAAAGGATGAAGGTAGGGAGGAGGGCAGGGAATGCTGAGAAGGCGAGGGCCCTGTGCCTGTGTGAACTGGCTATGTCAACTTTGGCAAGGCTCTCACCTCCCTAGATTTCAGAAAAGATGAGGGCACTGCCTGAAATGCCTTTTATTCCCCCCACCCCCATCTACTGGCTTCTGCTGGCAGGCCCAACTGAGCCTGCTAAGAAATCCAAAGTCCACTTTCTGACCTGGCTGATCCTGGCTGAAAACAAGGTTTTTTACTTCCCTTCTGCTCCTGGGAAAACAAGTCAACTGTGGGGCTGGGGGGTGGAGGGGGGGATTGTGGGGGGGGGGGGGGGGGCGCGGTCAAAGGAGTGACCTTTGCTCCTGCCAGCCGCACCTGGCCTCACCCTGTTCTAGGCTGGACAAGCCTGAACAAGTACCTGAGTGGTGCCTGGATAAGGGTAGGGGAAGGTACTTCCTGCCTCCCTCAACAACGAAAGCCTTCAGTAGGCCCTGTCCTTGCCCACCCTCCCCTGCCAGAAACACATCCTGCTGGCTCACCCGGTGCCTGCTCTTCTCCACTAGCAAAAGTGTAAGAAGGCCTGAATTCCAGCTTCAGTTTCATTATCTGTAAAAGGGTGCTTGGGCTCACTAGACAGAGGCAAAGATGTGAGAACTAGAAATAGTTCACTGGATGCCAGGCCCATGATGAGCACCTCACTGGCATTAATCCTCCATAGCAGCCCTGGGAGAGCTCCTGGCTCTCACCTTGAGTTCTACAAATGAGGAAACTGAAGCCCAGAGCCAGAGTAACTTGCCCAACATCAGAATCATTAAGTGGCAGAATCAAGAGTGGCATCTAGGTCTGTCTGGCTCCAGAACCTGCTCATCTTCCACCATGACCTGTTGCTATCCCAGTAGTAACAGTACCCATGTTCAGAGCTGCCTACCCTGCACTTTGCCCACACTAATTAACGTTCAGGATGCTTTGCAAAGGTTAGGGGCAATCTTAAATAAGAGGAGAAATCTCCTGGTATCATCAGGGTTTGCAAAACATAGCGGAGACTGAATGACACGTCACCACCACCACCACCACCACCCTGCCGAGTCAGAAAACAGGCCGAAACCTTATTTTCCAAACGAAAGGGTGACTTTAGCCAGGGCTGAAGCGCCCACTGGAAGAAAACACTGAGTCCTCTTTCTGTCAATGGGTCAAGCTCCCCACTTGAGCAGGGCTCCATTCCCTCCCCAAACTACACTGACGCCCCACCCCTCGAAATCCTGGGACATTTCAGGCCCTGTCCACAGGTCTCCCATCCTCCTCCTCCCACCAGCCAAAGTCAGAACCCGTGGAATGGTCGAGAGATCCAGGAAAAGCTCCCTAGAGAGCACTACAGGTCCCTACTTCACCGCACCCAGTGTGAGACAGTCCCCCAACACCCAATCCAATTCCGTGGTTAAGGCCGCTGGCAGGGGCGGACTCCTCTGTAATCAGACACACCCGAAACAGTGCCTGAACTGACTGAATCCCACTGCCACCATCAGGTCCCCACACTGCTACAGTCAGTGATTCTAATGTTGACAACGGGCTTTAACTCACCACCCCCAGGGTTTGTATCTGCTTCCTGAAGGCACTTTCCACACTTGCAATTTTTCACTTGCCCTTGGGATTTTTGAAACACGCCCACACCCAGCCCCGCCACCTGCCGACCCCTCTAGACTTTCCTCTTTTCGCTGTACCAGGGCTACGTCAGGGCCCGGTACAGAGTAAGGACTGAATAGTTGCTCAACAAATGAAACTGCGGCCCAGGAAGCGTGAGGAACCGGGGCAAGGTCATTCAGAGAAGTGGTGACGGAGCCACCCCTCTGCCTGGGGTTTCTCTTCAATTCCCAGTCTGGGTCCCAGTTACAAGGCCTCCCCGACCCCAGCCCCCGAACCCCGGGAGCCAGACCCGCTAGGTCAACCGGAAGCGGCGCGTGCGAATCTGTAAACACAGTTCGCAACGCCCCACCCCGGGATTCTCCAGTCCCGCCTCCGCCCGCCACGTGACACACCCCGTCTGCCCCGACCCAGTGCCCGCCCCCGACATCGCCTCATTGGGCGTCCAGCTTTGTTTACCTTATATGGCCAGGTCCTAACACCCCGCGGAAGCTCATTGGCCGAGATGCGGCCTCACTCACGAGACGTCACTCGGGACCGAAAGATGCAAATAAACTAGGGCATTCTGGGAATACGAGTTCTGAGTCTCCCCGGAACTGGCTCCGCGCGGTCCTGCAGTCCACACGTTAAAGGAGAGATTTCCGGCAAAGCACAGCAGATTTTGCGTGGGAACGTGGAGACGCCACAGGGAAAGAACCTCGAGGCAGCAAAGACTGTCAGCCTCGCTTGCCTATCCCAAGCGCCATCCCTAGTTAACCCCAGAAGTTTCTCGGGCCTACTGTGTACCTGGCCGAGCGCCGGGGCGGGGAGAAGCCGCTTCACAAGTGCGGGATTCGCGGAGGGAGTTGAGGAGACTCGAAGGCTTCCTGGAGGCGGTGATTTTGAGCAGAGTTCTAAAGAGTAGATTCATTTATTCACTGAACGAATATAGGTGCCTACTGTGTGCCCGACCTTCGAGGCCTTGCGTCCTGGTTCTGCCGATTTGTACCACAATTGCTATAGTGCTCCCCTCACCCAAGGGTGCGCCCACTCAACACAGAAGGATGCCATCCACACTGGGGCTCGGGATCCCACGTCTTGACAAAGATCCCTGTAGCGTCCTCTTGCCTACCCCCGGTAGTGCCAGGACAGGGGCGCGGGTCAGCTCTCGTCACGGCCCGCCTCTCCCCACAGTAAGTGCCAGGCCCGCGACAGCTCAGCTCGCAGCCCCCGGTGGAGCGCGGGCGGGCGCGGTGCAGACTACATCTCCCAGCATGCCCCCCGCGGCCTCGGAGCGAGGCGAGGCTCGGTGAGTCAGAGCCTCACAGTAAATATTTGTATTAGCCAGAGCCGGCTCGCTAATGGTGGACGCGTGAGCAGAGAAGCGCACGGCGGCGGGAGGCCGGAGCGGGCATCGCGGCAGCGGCGGCGGCGGCGCCATGTCCGTGAACATGGATGAGCTTAAGCACCAGGTCATGATCAACCAATTCGTGCTGACGGCCGGCTGCGCGGCCGACCAGGCGAAGCAGCTGCTGCAGGCGGCCCACTGGCAGTTCGAGGTGCGCGGCCGGCTCGGCCAGCGAGCCAGGGATCGGGGTTGGTTGGGGGGGGGCCGTCCCGCGTGGCGGCGCGTGCCGTGGAGCGTGTGCTGTGTGTACACGTGCGGGTGCGCGCTCCGCCGGCCGCGCGCCAGTGTTCGGGCCCTAGCGCGCACACATGCGGCGTACAGTCGGGTTCGGCGGCGCGGCCGCGTCTACGCGGCCCCCGGAAACGCCGCCCGCGCTGGGTGAGCGGGAGGAGCGGCCCGCCCCCGCTGGGGCCCGAAATCGCGGACCCCAATTTCCCCACTATTGTTCCGGGTAAGGCCGGGGCGGGGCGGCGCCAGGGCCGGGACAGGCAGTGGGGCGGGCGGCCGGAAGGAGGACGCCCCAGGCCTGGGCCGAGCTGGGCACACGATGTCCCCCTTTCATTTTCCCTCCCTGAGCAGTGGGGTTGGGGCAGGGGAGTCCTGGAGCACACGGGCGGAGTCGCCCCGCATGTGGGTCTGTGTCCCTGGTGGGCAGCCCGGAGGCGCGTGTGTCAATGTACATGTGCATTTGTATTTACGCACGTGCCACGCTCTGTGTGGGCATGTTGGCGTGTATAAACACGCAGTCCACCGCGGGTGCGGAGTGTGTGCTCCTTGCATACACATGTCGCCGTGTTACAGCTAGTGTTCATGCATGCGTATACACCCAAGTGTACAGTGCTGTGTTAGGGCCCTCCTCTGTGCTGGCAAGGACATCTACCTGCACAGTGCAGGCGAGGTGTGCGGTTCAGTAGCTTTCAGTCAGCTGGGCAGGAGGTGGGACTATCCTAGTCTGGCGCTCATTCCAGAGGCCTCCTTCAGCCATAGAGCACTAGGGCCCACGGCTTGTGCTGCCAAGAGGCCACCTTACCTAACTCGGCCACCCCAGAAATATTCCAGGGTGGTACCTAGGGATGAGGCCAGAGCCCCTTGAACTCCATTCCTCACAGGTGTAAGGGCCCAGGCCCAGTGCAGTTGTAGCGTCTGTGCCCAGCAGGGGCCCAAGACCCTGGTTTCCTTTGGGGAGTCAGCCATGGGAAGGAGTTTGGCCTTGAAGGAGGGACCAGGAGCCAGGGAAACTTCCTGAGGGTTGGAAGAGATCGGAATTCGCATCCCAAGGTTGGGACATTCTGGTGACCCAGTGGCCTATGCACCCAAAGGATCTTTGCTCACCTCCTTCCCACCAGAGATCTATTGACTCTGTATGGCCCTCACACCAGGAGATTCTCATTCTCTCTCTCTCTCTCTCTCTCTCTCTCTCTCTCTCTCTCTCTCTGCAGATCCCTTCCCCTTTCTGGTCTGTTTTTTCCTCTGTACCTTGGGGTTGTGAGTTGACCTCTAAGGGCTGAATGCCCCCCCATTACCAGGCTGGCAGCCCCACCCTCCAGGAAGCTAGCTCCCTAATCAACCCGTTTGTCTCTGGGGCTGGATGTGGCAAAACTTGCAAAACCACATTCATTGCAGTTTGCTTGAGTCCCATATCGGCATACATGGCTCCCTTCCTGCATGGGGTTGGGCAGGCAGGTGTCCAGTGGGCAGGCACTCTTCAGCGCAGCCCACAGAGCTTAGCACCAGCTTGATGGTCACTCAGGCAGTGCAGATTGGTGTTGGTTGATCACAGGAATTGAAGATGTAGTTCTGAGTATTGAAATGTCTGGAGAAAAACTCTGATCCAGCAGGGGCAAGAGCAGCTTGCAGACTGTGTTGGGGGGGAGGGGAGCAGAGCTCTAATGGCCCCCATGGGTAGGACCCCTGTGCCCAGGGATCTGAGTCTCAATTTCACTGTCTATAAAACGGGATATGGATTCTAGGGAGGTTCACTTAAGGTCAAAATGGGTCATGGACCCCCAAACCTTAGGTCTCATTGTGGGAGTGAGTGAGAAGTTCCTCGTGGCTGGCCCCTTCTGCCTTCCACGCTTCAGCTGGCAGCCTACTGGCTGAAGGGCTGACCCAGCCAGCTGGAGGCTGTCTTTTTGGGTCATATTCTTTGTGATTCAGGTGTTAATGGGGACAGGCTGCAGGGGGAGGGGAAAACCTCTGTTTGCTTTAAGGGGTGGGGCAGATGTTTCTCCCTGGAATCCCTGCACTCCATGGCCTTTGGAGCTACTGTTGGGAACAGAATGGTTTGGGTGTGTCCCTGGGGCTCCAGAGGTGAGGCTGGGGGTCAGGAGGTTAGAGGCCAATGCCCCTCTTCCCCTAGCTTCCACATTCTTGTTTGGAGACACAGGTAGGGTGTTTCAGCATGCTCAGAATAATTAACTTGATTTTACTTTAAGAAAATCACAAAATCCCCAGGGAAGGCCTGGGAGCCAGGTTGGGTTTCTGGGTATGTTGGGGACAGGGGAAGGAGTGGGCAGCACAGAGCTGTGGGAGGCTAGCTGGAGGGGGTGGTGATGGTGGACAGAGTAGCAGGGGCTGCTCAGAGCTGTGTTCTGGGCCTTGGCAGAGCCTGGTGGACCCTTCACACACTTGATGGGTTCCCTTACCCAGCACTTTCGCAAGAACAGCTGATTTTCTCTCTCTCTCTCTCTCTCTCTCTCTCTCTCTCTCTCTCTCTCTCTCTCTCTCTCTCTCTTTTGGACATCCTCCTACAGGGGCTGAGCCAGAGCACACCAAATGCCGGTGCCTTCCTGGGGGCTCCCAGAGGCCACACTGCAACCCTCAGCCCCCTCACTCCAGTCCCTCAGGGCCTCCAGATAGCTGGTCTTTAGCAGGCCAGCTCTCTTCCCCCTTCCTCAAAGTCCTGCGTGTAAACCCCACCTTTGCCATCCTCTCGCTCTGTCACCTTGAGAACATTCTGCTGGAAGCTCACATGAGTGGGGCAGGGAGTGCAAACCCAGACCATCTTCATTCTGGCTCTCCCAGCTGGAACATGGACCTTAGGGGTTACTGTTGCAAGGGAGAGGAACCTGAAAGCTACCCAGTTCAGTCCTCTTGTGGTACAGTTGGAGAATCAGGCCCAGAGAAGAGTTCCTTGGCTATCCAAGGAGAGGGACAGGTGAATCACAGATTCAACATCTGGGGCCTTCACCATCTCCTGGCTCAGAGATGAAACAGAGCGGTAGGGACTTGCCACCCATGGAGTTGGTGACATTTGGGCCGAGGTCTCTGGGAGACCTTTCCCCGTCAGACATGCGAGGGAGCTGCCTGCCCTGCAGATCTCAGTGCTGTGTGCAGACTGCAGGTACCTGGTATCCAGATGGCAGACAGTGTCGTGAGGGTCTTCACCACCCACCCTACCTGCTTGGAGGTCTCAAGAAGTGGCAAGGGTCAAGTGGTGACAGGCACACTACCTCAACTCACGTCTCCTACTTGGGAGCCAGGCCCAGGGCCGCACCAAGTCCCAGAGAGCCTGGGAAGAAGGGAAGCGGCAGGGCTGGGCAGGGTACTGAGGGTAAGCTTGGGCTTTTCTTCCCACAGACGGCCCTCAGCGCCTTTTTCCAGGAGACCAACATCCCCTACAGTCACCATCACCACCAGATGGTAAGTGTCCCCTGCGGCCTTAGGGGCAGCTATGCAGGGGTCTCCCAGTTCAAGCTGCAGTGGATCTCCGCCTTTGTTCCCAGAATCCCAGCCACTGGGGTGAGCCACCAGCGGGTGTTGTGGGCCAACCCGTCTTAGCACCCTGCCTTTCCTTTGTGAACCCCCAGGCTGGTAGACTGTGGAGGGCCAGGTGCATCCAACTAGGGGGCACAAAGTCTCCCAACAGAGGCTGGGCATGTGTCTCCAACTAGGAGCCAGTAGTAGGTTGGGGGCCTTCCAGAAAGGGTGCTTATCCCTCCCTCTCTGCTCTCCTCCCCACAGATGTGCACTCCCGCCAACACCCCTGCAACGCCCCCAAACTTCCCCGACGCCCTCACCATGTTCTCCCGTCTCAAGGCCTCTGAGAGCTTCCACGGTGGTGGCAGCGGCAGCCCAATGGCCACCTCGGCCACGTCACCCCCACCGCACTTGCCCCACGCCGCCACCAGCAGCTTTGCAGCGCCCAGCTGGCCAATGGTGGCATCACCCCCAGGGGGGCCACAGCACCATCAGCCTCAGCAGCCGCCCCTGTGGACTCCGGCGCCCCCTTCCCCGGCGTCAGACTGGCCACCTCTGGCCCCCCAACAGGCCACCTCAGAACCAAGGGCTCACCCTGCCATGGAGGCTGAGAGATAAGGGAGGCCCCTCCCCCCTCCCGGAGTCCTGGACCCCGTGGGGCGGGGGAGAAGACATCTCCACGGGCCCCCTTTACCTTCCTCTGTCTTCTGCACCCCCTTGCCCTGGAGCCCTGGAGGGGAGAGACTGAACCCCCTGTGCCAGCACACAGGCTGCCTGCGAGTACACAGAAGTGCAGGCTCGTGGCACCCAGCTTGCATGGATTTGGTTCAGAGTCATCTGGGTGCTGGTGGACAGAACTTCAGAGACCAAGCAGCCTTCCCCAGAGGACTCACCCACCTCAGGAGTCTGCGGAGACTTGCCTGGCTCCTGCCTTGGAGCTCCTTGGGGCTGGCAGACCTAGATCCCCACCCTCGTGAATGCAGAGCCTTCTCCGCATGTGTGCGTGTGGCTGTGTCTGTATTTATACGTATGTCACTATTCAAGAAGCAACCTAGTTTATGGGGCAGCTGGACTTTGCATGTTAGAGTGAGCCCCTTGCCCGTCGCCCCCTTCCCCAGGGTCCTCTCCTCTCCCCAACCCCTCAGCAGCCAGCTTTGCCGTTCCTTGCAGAGAAAAGGATTGTGGGAAACTCCAGGACTCTCCCCACCCATCCCCCAGCGCCTGCCTGCTGGGACTGCCTGCATGCCTCCCCCAGAGCCCAGGGGTACCCCATACCCATTTCCTACCCCCCTTTTGACAAAGGAGAAGAAAGAGTTCCAAACCACCACCAGGCTCTGTGGTCTTGCCTTGTATCCTAAGCTTTGCTGCCAGCTGGCCCTGTGTGTGTGGAGGGTGGGGGGAGGGTGCAGACGGAGCCCAGAACAGAGGGCTGTCCTCCAGTCCTGCCTGGCTTCACACTGCTCCTGTGTGTTGCTGTCTTTTCAACCACAACATGCTGTGGAATCTTCCTGCCTACCAAAGGCTTTTCCCATGAAGTTAATTTCTGGCCTGTGTTCCCAGAATCCCAGCCTCTGTCTGCCCACCCTTCCCCCTTCCTGGCTAGAGGGATCCTGACTTCCAGGGCTGAGAACTGCCTTCCGGTTGGTCTGAGTTTCTCATAAGGACCTTTTTTCCTGTCTCAGGGCCCCAGTATTTGGCTGCAGGCTGGACCCTCAAGCCCAACCTCCAGCAAATGTGCTGGGTGGGGCAGGGCCCTCCCCTGGGGAGACAGACCCCAGTGCCTGTAGTCTGCAGGCTTGGATGCAGAGCCAGTGGGGACTAGTGACAGGGACACACCAGCCTGGGGCAGAGTCCAACCAGTGTTCAAACCATTGGTCACTAAGGAGACAGGCCACCCAGGGGCAGTAGACAGTGGATCCAGGCTGCTTCCAAGCTGGGCTGGAGCAGGTACCTAATTGAGCCCCAAGGGAGAAGCCAGATGCCTCACTCTGCCCTGGGCTGCCCACACTGGGGAAGAGGGTTCGTGTGGCCGCCTGCAGTTCCCCGCCAGCAGACCTCACTCCCTCATCAGGAAGAACTCGGTTGGCATCTCAGCCCTGTGTGGATTGTGCTTGGGTTGAAGAGTTTCTTCTATTTTCGAAGGTCTGCCGACATGGCTCAACACCGCCAGCAGTCATCTTGCTCCCAGATACAGGGCTCAGCTTTCTGACAAGGATGCCTTTGCCCTGCTGGAATCTGGACAGGCCCTTCATGAAGCCCACCTGGGATGATTGTTTACTCTGGTTGTCACTAAAGACTGACCGCTGGGTCCCCACTTGAGCTGTTGCTTACCCTCCTGAAAGTTTGTCCTCACCTTGAAACCCACTTTCCAACAGCCTCTCGGAGTCCAGAGAGGACAAGGTTCTTCCTGGGGTATGTTGGGGTGCAGCTTCTCCATTCTTTTGGATGGAAGAAAATCCTCAGGAAACTGGCACAGCCCCACTTCAAGTGGTAGGAAAATTCTGGGTTTCCAGATGTGTGAAGTGAGCATGCTTGGGCTCTCCCAGAGAGCTGATTACTGGGGTAGCTGTATGGTTTGGAACCATAGGAGGCAGTGCACCATGTAGAATTTGTAGTCCTGGACACACTGGGGCTTGACCCCAGGCAGGCCTACACATGAGCCACACCCTCACTGTTCAAAATGTGGTCCTCAGGCCCCAGTTTGAGAACTATCTCTGTTAAGTGCTGGTCTGTTGGAGGCGAGGCCCATTTCTGTTTCTGGGGGCCACATTGGCTAGGCCTGGAGGTCCCAGAAGGTCACATTAGTCTGGAAGGGACTTGAAGTTCCTGTAGATACAGTTTTCCCAACCTGGGCACTGTGGACATTGGTGCTGGATCAATGCCTACCATGGGAGTATCCTGTGTGCTGTGGACGTTCGGCCAGCGTCCCAGCCCCTACCGACTCGATGCCAGTAGCACCGTCATGTGACAACCAAAAATGTCTATAGACATGGCAAAATGCCTCTGCCGGCTCTGAAAAAGAATCTTTTCACACCCCCAAACTCGGGCCCACCATGTCAGAATCTCAGGGGAGGCCCCAACAGTATAGTTTTAAAAACACTCCCAAGATATTGCTGATTGACTTGTCAACAAACTAAAAGCCATTCGACTGCACACTTCAAAAGGGTGGACTTTGTAGTGTGTTCATTATGTAAAAGCTGTTATTAAAGGTAAAATAGCTCCCAAGTGCTACCACGATGGCACAAATTTACAGAGCAAGAGAGTTCCCTGGGTCCTTGAGGCTACTGTTCTGGAGGAGGGCCCAGCGATCTGATTTTTAATAAGTGCCCCAGGCAAAGTGGGACGCAGAAAAGGAGGAAGCAGAGGGCAGGGCAGGAGCTGCACCTGGGGACTCATGTACTTTCCAACAGTGCAGAGAGAGACCTGCCAGGTATGTCTGGGGCTCCCTGTCAGCATCTCAAAGCAAGGGAGTGGCTGCAGAAGTGAGCCAGACACACTGAAGGGGAGCCAGAGGTGGGCCTGCATAGCTGCCATAGGCCCTCAAAATTCGAGTGTGACACGGAGAACCTGGAACCTTCCTTAACTTCCCCATGCCTGGAAGCTCAGGAGCAAAGCTGACGGCATCAATAATCGTCCACTACATATTCCAGTATGAACTGGCTAAAAAGCAAAGGTGCTGGTATATGAATGGAACAGATATTTACAGCCAGGTTTAGCTGAGTCTCAGATGGCTCTCGGGAACCTCCTGGGAAAACCAGCCTTATTACCTCAAAGTCTAGCCTCTTCTGGGCTTGGACATCTGCATGATGACCAGACTTGTGCTCCAGATGATTGTTCCAAAGTTCCACTCTAAAAAACACTATTTGCATCCATGAAGTTGCTTAGAAGAATGTGATTTGAGTTCTGCGTGTCTCATTTCTCAAGAGGGGATGTGACAGCATGTAGGACCGAAGATTTGGCCTCCAGTGGTGACAACAGGTAGCTGTGCCCTCTGGTCTGCCATTAAAAGATTGGGGCATGGTTATCTTAGGAGGTGGCAAACCCACAGTCCCCTAATGTGTGCTGTTTGGCTTGCATGGTGGTTTGGTGTATGTGTGTGTGTGTCTCGTCTGCCAACATTTTCAAATTAGGAGAGTTTACATCAAAAGCCTCACTTCTGGCTTATCTTGGAAATTTGTAATATTGCCCAAGTTCCCATAAAAGCCACAACTGGCTGAAGCTGACCATCTCGGTGGGGACACAGCTTGCCTATGGCCAGCCAGCCTACTCCACTGGCTGCCAGCCTGTGTGTGTTCAACTCTCATCTTGGAATCGGCTGAAGTCTCTGAAAGGGATCTTGCTTTCCCCAGGGGAAGCTTTTGAAGTAAGTGCCCTGCTCTGTGGGGTGGAGGAGCACCTGATAGATGAATGATGACTCTAAAATGCTGTCCGTGGGCAGGCAGGGCTCCTCCTTTATACAGCTTTAAAGAAAGAAGGGCTCGTTCCCCTGCAGTATTCTCTGGACAACAGGGATGCTCCCAGGGCTGCCGAAGGTCCCCAGGGTCTTTCTGGGGTTCTCTGAGAACACATGTGCCGCTGAAGAAAACCACGCTGTTGCTGAGGCTGGCTCCCAAAGCTGGCGGGCGGGGCCGCTGTGGCACTGGAGGTCTCTGAGGGGCTTTTCATAGCAGGACTCATCAGAGGACAGACTGGCTTTGAGTGGTGGCTCCCCTGGTCAGTGTTGGGGAGGCTGCCTGGGTTGGCCAAAATGAGATATTTTGAGGCAAAGCTATTTCCAGTTCCTGCATTTGGAAAGGTCTCTGGTTGCTTAGGCACAGCTTATGACTGGGCAATACATGTATTTCAAATGAGCCTTAAAAGAACACCACTCTTTTAGGGGTGGGGGTGCGGGGTCCTGCATGGGAGGGTGTGGGAGGGCCCACTTCTGTCGTGGCCGAGGCCTTATCAATGGCACAGCACAGGGTGCTGGGAGCCTGTTTGCAGAGTTCTGGTCTGCTTTCTGGGGTCATTTCTCACCTAGGGAATAACAGCTGCAAATACTGGTGGGGACATTTTCGATGGATCCTGGTGAAGCCATGAGCAAGAGGAGGAAGGGGAGAGAGAAGAGGAACCCTACTCTGGCTCTTGTGTGGGGTTTTGGAGGGTCTCTGCCTACAGCCCCTAAATTCATGTTAAGTCAGGGGTCAAGCCAAGATGTTGGTGACAGAGGGACCAGTATGTACTATTTCAGTGTCTCCGCACAGAAGGCCCTCTCTCCAGTGCCTCAACTGCCACCTCCTGGCAGCCTGCTTTTGGGTACTGGTGGTGCCTTTTTCCAATGCAGCTCAACTTGTTTGGGACATACAATTGCTGTTGTCGGTTGTTTATACCATAGGATTACTGGGTTCATGGTCATCGAAAGGGAGAAAATGTTCAGAGGCCCTTTGGTTTGCATCAGTAGGTTGTGGAGCTGGATTTGGGGGTGCAGGGTGGTTACCACCCAGCATCTCCATTCTAGCAGCACCTCGAGGCAGGACCCAATGCTTGACAAGAGGCACCTCCCTCCCTTTCCTGCTGGCTCATTCATGCAGCCCCACATACCTGGCCAGTCCACATGACTTCCTCCTCATATGACGGATTTATCTTAGTCTTAAAACTGAAAGTTCCAGGGACCCCTCTCAATCCTAGGCAGGCTAAGACAGTTGGTCACCCTACTCCCCGTCTAGCTGGCCCTGCCTCTGTCCCAGGTTAGGAACTGTGGTCCCCTTTGCAGAAGAGGAGGCTGGACCTAGGTTCTTCCAACATTGCCACTCTGCTAACTCCATCCCTGGCACTGTCCACTCCCCAAGTGTTTCCCCTGCTGGATGGCGTGGGCCACCCTCCTGAGGCAGCTGCCCTGAGCGTGGGCACGGCACCTCCCTTCCAGCTTTCAAGGCCTTCAGGTTCCAATCTCGGGTCGGGATGAGGAGGTAGAAACCTTGCCACCTGGGACCAGGCCAAAGGCAGGCTTCCCCTACCCCCATGGGGGCAGGACCGTCTTCTAGGATTGCTCCTGGCTGGCTGCAGTTGGGACTGTAGTTTTCCACCTTCCAGAGCACCGTGGGGTTCTGTCAGAATGCAGATGGCTCCATAGTGATACCTGGGCCTCACTCCACTCCCTCAGCTGCAAGAACCAACCAGGCACTCATTCTGATGTAAACCTGAGAAATGGCTGGGAAGGCATCGTTGAGGGGCTGATTATAGATTGATATGAGGTGCTGAGAGAGTTGTGCCAGGTCCCTGTGGGTGCCTTCATGTCAGGGTTTTAGGAGGCAAGGCCGGCATGGGGTGCTTCCCCAAGAACCCCCAGCTTCCTGTGTGCCATACCTCCCTTCTCTGCCTTGGAGAGGTGATGGAAGTCCAGGCCCTCGTCCCTGTGTACAGCACCCAAGAAGAATGGCCTCATGGGTGGGGGCGGGAGAGCTGAGGCCTCACTGTGTGACCCTGGGCAAGTCACACCAATACGCCTGCCTACAGACCCCTGACCCACCCACCACACAGGCCTGGGAAGCCTGGGGCACTTTGCCACAGTGGGGAGTATGAGAGAAGAGGGAAGGTCGGCTGCAATTCTCTGCTGAGGATCAGCCATGGTGACTTTGGGCAATGGCTCTGGGAAGCTGACGCTGGAGTGGTGGTCCAAGGAGGGATCAGCAGGTTCACCCACCACTGTGGGGCAGGCAAAGCCACCCTCCACAGAGGATACCGGCCCTTTACCCTCATCCACAGTCAGAAGAGTGAAAGATGAAACATTTTATTCTGGGGAGACGTTGCCAAAAATACTCCGTGATATGGGGGTGGGATTGGAGGCTGGGGCTGCAGTGCCAGTGCCCACGCCAGGCAGTGTAGACCCGGGTCAGGAAGAGCTTGTTCCCATTTGGACACAATCCTTGGAGAGAGAAAAGAGAAGTCAGGACTGGGAGTGGTCACCAGAAAGGAGCTGGGGGAAGGGCTGGGGGACCATTAGGAAGGGGGCAGGCACACAGTGTCCCCAGACTCCAGTGGCCGTCAGGTTTAGGGAATCCTCCATGCCAGCTCCCAGGCAGAGCCTCGCGCCCCCAGTCCTCCCCCAGGGCAAACCCTTGACAGCTCTCTCCAATTCACTCCGTCGTCTCAGGGACCTCTAGTGGGTGTTGGGGCTGGGGGGTCATGCCCTAATGCACAGAGGGAAAATTTTCTTAGTCTTTGTGAAATGTGATAGAAATGTCACAGCTACACTAAGGACAGAGAGCACAACAGGACCAGCTAAGGATTAGAAAGAGAGTGAAGCTGAAAGGGAGAAGGATGGGACGGATAAACCACGCAAGGGGAAGAAACCAAGCCAGGCATGCACTTCGTAGGCTGGCATGTGTAAGCAACGCCCTGTGATCTAAAGAGGACCACTCAACTGCCAGCTCGGAATGTTTTGGCCTCCCAGTTTGCTCTGGCCCCACCAGGAGCGTGGGTGGTTAGCATCAGAACCAGACACGTCACACAGGCATGCAGGACCCCAGCCCTGGATGGGACAGAGCAGTCCCAGAGTACTCCAGGGACATTGCTCCAAGTTCCTCAGGGATTAGCCAGCAGTGAATATAAATAATCAACTTCTTTAAACATTCACTTCAGAACAGTAGTTACTGGTGGAAATAACACAAAAAGTTTTAAAATGCATGCTATAAAATTTGGTTCCCATGAGAAAATTGATCCTGGTAGAAACAATCGGCCCCAAAGAAAATGGACAGTGGCAGAAACTGGAACTGGAACTGATGAAATGGTTTTGGCAAAATAAAAAGGAAAGTGTTTGAAAATCACTCTTAACTGCATTGTATTGAAAATTGGTCAAGGAATTACATTGGCTTAGTGGAAAATTCAATCTAGAAAACTGTGTTCTTCATGTAATGTAGGATAAGAAGGATTGTGTTGTGTGTATGTATATGCAGAGAGTGAAAACAGCCATTGGATCACAAGGAATCCCTTGTGGAGACCTCTCCCCTCTGTCCAGGGCCCCTGCACCTTCCCCGGGCCAGGCTCAGGGAGTGCCTTGGCTGGTGGGCGGAGTGGAAGGGACAGTGGGGGCACAGGGCACAAGGCTCACAGGTTGTCGGGCTCCTAGGTGGGCTGTGTGCTGGCTCGGGACTCGAGGCGTTGAGGCCTTGGGTGCCTGGTGGACCCTGAGGCCTGCGAGGGGTCCTGCAGGGATGGCATCAGTGGTGGCAGCAGTGGCAGGGGCGGCATAGATGGAGGCGGAGCTAGTGTCATTGGGTGGGGGCCGGAAGTGGCTGCGCGGATGCTGGCACGGGGGTGCAGGGCTGGGAGGGGTAGGAGAGACCCATGATTTGTCTTAAGAACATTCTGGGCAGAGGCTGGCCTGACTAAGGAGAGGGGAAGCCCCGAGATGAAAGTGCTTCACTGCCGCTTACTTAGTCTCGGGAGCAGCCTAAACTCCTTGGGGGTGTGAGGGAGCGACCCAAGATAGAACACACTAGAGTAGATGCCAAAGTGGGGCAGAACCCCCAGAGGGGTCCCAGTTCCTTCATCCCTCAGCCTGAGGTCACTGAGCCTCAACTCCCCCGCTCTTTCAAATGGGCTGGCCGTACCCACCACCCCTAGGTGGGATGAGGACTGGATGAGACAAGGGGCAGAGTGCTTTGTACACTGTAAAGCACCTACAAATGCCTGGTACAGGGCGATGCGAATCAGGGGAGCTCAATCCCCCCCGCCTGGCTCACAGGGCCTCAGCAGAGAGGCCCAGGGAATGAATGGGCTCCCTTATCCCACCTCTGCAGCTGACTGGACACTTGGGAAGAGACACCCAGCCTAGAATGCCCAGGCCAGGACGCCTGGCTGAAGGGTGAAGCAGGAGTCCAGAACAGCGGGAGGCCTGACCAGGGAGGTAGGTGCTGGGTGGGGGCCCCTGTGGGGGGCCTTCGCAGCACTGGCAGACAGAGCATGTGAGATACGGGCGAGGTGGGGCAGGGGGGCTCCAGCCTGGGACTGGGGGACCCAGCCAGAGCTCCAGCTGGGCCAGGGAGTTGGGGGAGCGGGTACTCACGGGGGTAGATGGCACCAAAGCGCTCATACAGGTTTCGAGTCGGGGGATGCGGAACCTTCACAGCTTAGTGGAAAAGAGAAGGGAAGAGACGGGAATGGGTGGCGTCTCTTCCAGAGCTCAGCCCCTCCCTGGAGCGCTCATCCTGTCCTCCAGCTCCTGCAAAGGCCTTTTCATTCCGGCGGGACTGCCGTTTCCCAAGCCACCCCCCTTAATACACCGAACCCTCCCCATTTGTATATGGAAGGGCCTTCTCTCCCCACCTTCTCGAGTTTCTTAAGGTTAAGATATTAGAAAAAGGGTTTTTGAAAGTAACTAGAGGCCAGGGAGGAGACGGTAATAAGATGCAGAGGAAATGCTGGCAGGAGTACTTATAGGTTAGATGCCTGGCAGTTTTTAGATCTTCCCACCACAAGGGGTGGGGGCAGACCGTCATGGTACTCCCACCCCCACCTTCCCATCCATCCCGTGTGTGTGCATTTTTTTAGTAAAAGTCACATAATATATAATTAACTATTTAAAGGGAACGATTCAGTGGCATTAAGTTCATTCATGAGGTTGTGCAACCATCACCTCCATTTAGTTCCAGAACATTTCATTACCCCAAAAGGAAACCCAATAGCCATGAGGCAGTCACTCCCCGTTCTCCCCTCTCCCCCACCGCCTAGCCCCTGGTAAGCTGCCTCTGTTGATGTGATTTGCCTATGCCGGACGTCTCCTAGAAGGGGGATCATACAATATGGGGTCTTTTGGGTTTGGCTCCATCTTCCACTTTTGAACCCAAGGTGTTCCCTTCTCCTTGTCCAGCCAGAGACCACCATGACTGGCCATCCAGAATCCAGGCCAAAGGCCCCTGCAGGAGAAGACGTAGGAACGTGCGGGAAAAGAGGCCACAGGAAGGAAGATGGAGGGAGGAGGAGGAGGAGTGAGGAGGGACTCAAAGTTGGCCGAGCAAGACACAGGGGTCTGGAGGAGGGGGCCATGCCTGGCACCTGGCAAGAGTTACAGGGGCGCTAAGCTCTTTCCTATGCAGGACACCAATTGCTCCTTCTGCCTGAACGGCTATGTCCGTCTCTGGCTGTCTCCTGACAATCTTGCCTCAAATGTCCCTTTTCAGAGAGACCTTTAGGCCGCCCACTCAACAGGGACCTCTCCCTGGTCATCCTTTCCCCCATTTCCATGTTTCATCTGATTTTACTCACTGACTTACTCGTTTATATTTCACCATCTTTCATGGAGTAAAAACTCTAAGGGAACAGTAACTTCATTTTGATTACACTGGGTTTCCCCAGCGGCTTCTAAAACACACCTGGCACCAACAAGGGCTCAGGAGACCAGGGCCACGCGGCACAGGAGGTGCCACACATCTCCCTTTAAGAAAGAACTTGGTGCTCAGCTATAGGAAATGCAGGGAGCAAACAGCCTCCACCTGTTAGCACCTTGGAGCCTGTTAGCATCTCAGGGTCTGGTAGTACTTTGGGGGTTTGTTAAACCTTCAGAGTCTGTTAGCACTTCCAGTCATTGATGGCCTGGCTGTCTGCTGGGCTTTGTTTGCTCGGAAGCTCCCCATTGGTCTGGGCCGGACCTTATCAGGTCTGTGCACTCTGAGGGTCTCTTCCTGCTCCCTCCCTTTCCTTCCTCCTCTTTGTTAATGCTCTTCCCTTTGAAATCTCTTGTATCCCTAACTCTGTCGCAGGGTCTACAACCACAAGGACCCAACTGGCACCGCCTTGATTCCCCATGAGCCTCTGGGAACCATATAGCTTGGGTCACGTGCCTCCAGCCTGAGTTAAGAACCACCACCCATGTGCTTTATGGGTTCCGCTCGAGAGCAAATGCCCAGCTGAGGGGTGCTCCCTGGCCCCCACTCTGATCCCCAGTTGGCACTTATATCTCTCCATGAGTCAGATGTGGAACCTGCCAACCAGCCGACCAGTAAGATTGTTGAATTGCTTCTTTTTAAGGTAAGGGATGTGGGCCTAGGGTACAGATTCAAAATGGAGACACAGTGTGGCCCGGGAGCCCAGCTGCTGACCGAGAGCTCTCCTTGACGTCCCCTGCAACCTTGGACTCTGTGTGTCCTAACATGGACGCACCACGCGACCCCAACATCTGCTCCTCTTAGGCTCTCCTCTGACTTTTTCTGCCTCTGCGTAAGCCAGGAGACTCCCAACCAGAGGAAACACCTGAGTCACCCTGGCAAATATGAAAGGTTCTCCAGGGGCTCCTGGGGAGCACGCAGCATGGGCAGAGGCCCAAAGGTGAGAAACAGCGTGGCTCGTTGAGAGAGAGTGAGTGAGCAGGTCCATGAGGTTGCATGAAGGGGACAGATGAGGCCAGGGGGTCATGGGGCCCTGCAAATCAGCCAAGGAGTCTGGACTCTGAGGGCAATGCCCTCCTACGTGTCCATGTCCTAATCTCCAGAACCTGTGAGTACATCAGCTTACATGGCAAAGGGGACTTGACAGATGTGATTCAACTAAGGACTTTTGAGACAGGGAGATGGTCTTGGATTATCCACGTGGCCCTGATGTAATCACAGGGGCCTTATAACGGAGGCTGGAGGATTAGAGTGAGAGCAGGAGATGCAAGAATGGAAGTTGAAGTCAGAGTGATGCCCTTTGAAGATGGAGAAAGGGGCCGCACACCAAGGAATGCAGGAGGCCTCTGGAAGGCGGAACCAGCGAGGCAACAGACGTTCCCCCAGAGGGAACCAGCCCTGCGGACAGCTCGATAGTAGCCCAGAAGACTCATTTCCGATTTCTGACCTCAAGAACTAAGATAAAATAACTTTTGGTTGTTTTAAGCCATTCAGTTTGTGGTAAATTGTTACAGTAGCCATTCTGAACTGGGAGGGGCCTGGCCAGGAGTGTGTTTTAGGCAGTTCACCCAGAGCTGGTGAGGAAGGCGTAGGCTGGAGGCAAGTCTTCTACTCCCTTGCTTCTACCTCCTGCCTCTGTGCCCCTGCCACCGCCTCCCATTTAAGTCCTGCCCATACTCAGCCTTCCAGGGAGATTCTCTGAAAGTCCAGCCTGCTGACTACCAGCCTCAGCATGCCCCCTTGCCCTCCTACTGGGGGCATCACTCACTGGGGATCAGCTGTTCCTCTGCCCTGAGGTCCTGACCACAGTACAGGCATCTGGAGACCACAGGCCGGCTGGATACCTCTCGGTGACCCCCGTGGGGCTGGCAAAGGGCTGAATGCACAACAGGATATGGTGGAAACAGTGAGATGAATGGATGAATGCATCTAGGACCAGGCTGAACCTGGGTGGGGCTCAAACTAGCTAGTTTAGGTTTAGATAGTGATTGTTTGGATTGGAATTTTACTTTTTAGTAAATAAATGAGCACTAAGAGTACACTGGTCAAAAGATCTGGCCAGGTAGGCTTCTAATTGATATTTAATGCTAGTTAGATTCTGCTGTCCCCTTAAGCAGGATAATGCAGTTGAGGTGTCAGGATTCAGCCCTGCTTCAGGCCTTGAGAATGAATGAGACATGGGAAAAAATGCCCTTTCCTTTGGAAGAACAGGGATGCTGTCCAGTGAATGAGTGGAGACAAGGCCCAGGTGTGTAACGGCATCCTGGCCCCTCCACCAAGGGTGCCCTTACCTGCTAACTGGTGCAGTGCCTCCCTGGGTTGTTGCAGGGCCTGGCAAGATGTTAGACTCATTGCTTCAGGTTTTCCTAAATTCTCCCAAACAAGCAGCATCTGGCTTCAGCCCTGTACCTCTTGCTAAGTTGCTCCAGGTCCCGCGCTAGCAGCAGCCAGCCTTGGTTCACAGCTTGGCCTCTCCTGGTCACCTCCAAGCCCAGCACAAGTAACAAATTGCTTTGTAGTTAATGCTGTGTGACCCCGGAAAGAACACGGGGGGCTGACCTTGGATGTACCAACCCAACAGCAATCAAGTCTCAACCATAAGAGGAGGGCGTACACAGCCCACACAGTAGGTGCACCCTGAGTACTCAGCTTGGGTAATAGGGAAGGCTGTGCCACTGGACCCTACAGGACACCTAATACATTAAGCTACTCCATCAGGCCTGGGAAACATAGTAGCTCTATCTAATAGATAAAAACAAACACAGGGAAGCTGCCAAAATGAGGAGACAAAGAAACATGGCCCTCATGAAAGAAAAGAACAAAACTCCAGAAAAAGAACTAAAACAGAACAGAGAAAAGCAATCTATCAGATGCAGAGGTCAAAACATTGGATATAAGATGCTCAAGGAACTTAGTGAGGACCTCAACAGCATAAAAAAGTTCCAATAAGAAATGAAGGAGACAGTAATTGAAATAAAGAATAATTTACAGGGAATTAACAGTAAAGTGGATGAAGCTGAGAATCAAATCAGAGGTTTGGAACATAAGGAAGCAAAAAAAAAAACAAGTAATCAGAACAGCAAGAAGAAAAAAAGAATCCAAAAAACTGAGAATAGTATAAGCAGCCTCTGGGACAACTTCAAGTGTTCCAACATTCACATCATAGGGGTGCCAGAAGGAGAAGAGAGAGAGCAAGGATTTGGAAACCTATTTGAAGAAATGATGAAAGAAAACTTCTCTAACTTGGTGAAGGAAATAGACATATAAGTCCAGGAAGCACAGAGAGGCCACTGCAGGGTGCATCATAATTAAAATGCCAAAGGTTAAAGACAAAGAGAGAATCTTAAAAGCAGCAACAGAAAAGGAGCTCGTTATCTAGAAGGGAGTCCCCATAAGATTGTCAGCTGGTTTCTAAAAAACAAAAACAAAAACAAGAACAAAAAAACAACTTTGCAGTCTAGAAGGGATTGGCAAGAAATATTCAAAGTGATGAAAAGCAAGGACATACAATCAAGATTACTCTACCCAACAAAGCTGTCATTTAGAATCAAAGGACAGATAAAGAGCTTCCCAGACAAGAAAAAGCTAAAGGAGTTCATCAGCACCAAACCAGTATTATATGAAATGTTAAAGGGTCTTCAGAAGAAGACGAAGAAGATCAAAACTATGAACAATAAAATGGCAATAAATATATATCAATCAATAACCGAATCTAAAAAACAAAATAAACAAACAAGCAGAACAGAAACAGAAACATAGATACTGAGAACGTTTTGATCATTGTCAGAAGGGAGGAGGGTCGGGGAGAATGGGGGGAAAGGTACAAAGATTAAGAAGCACAAATTGGCAGTTACGGAATAACTTGTACTTTACATGGTGATGTAAAGTACAGCATAGGGGATAGAGTAGCCACAGAACATACATGCAGGACCCATGGACAAGGACCATCGTGTAGGGACTGCCTGAAGGAGTGTGTGTGTGTGGGGGGGGGGTGCTGGGTGGAGAGGGGCAAAGGGGGGGAAATTAGGACAAATGTAATAGCATAAACAATAAAATATAATTTTAAAAAAGGGAGTCAGACATTAAATATTAGTCACTGTCATTATCCTGCCTGGTGATTCCTGAAGCCCAGCCTGAGTCCCCTCTCAACAGCATCCACTGCCCGGCACCTGGAAAAGAGCATTAACACTGCAGGCCACGGCCTTGCCAAAAAGATGACCCCTGGAACCTGTGAATGTAACCTTATTTGGAGAAAAGGTCTTTGTGGATGTAATTAAGCAAAGGGTCTTGAGATGAAAGTTTACTGAGTTAAGTTGGGCCTTAAATCCAATGATGCATGTCCTTAAAAGAGACAGGAGAGGAGAATATACAGGGATAAGGCTATGCAAAGGGGAAGACAGAGACTGAAGTGATTACAGTCACAAGCCCAGTAAGGCGCTCCTTTTGGTCTTGTTGGCCCAGTGCTGGAGCTGAATGGTGGGGAAGCCATCTGGAGCCAGGGCCTCAACACTGCATTCCACACATGTGACAGCCCAATCCTAGCGCGCCCTTGACATTAGGACACAGCCTCCAGGATCTGTCCAAATGTCCTCTTCATCATGCCCAACCCCACCCCAATCTCTGCACCTCAGGTGGACTCGCCTCCCTGAGTGCCTGCCTGTGCCTAACTTACATCCACTCCAGAGCCTTTGCACCTGCCACTCCTTCCTCCTGGACTGCTCTTCTCCCACCTGACCCTTCCATCTAGTGAAACCCTAGTTCCTTTTCAGAGGCCTCAGGGCAGTATCCAGTCCCTCTCCTTGGACCAGTGTCCCTAGTAACAACTTTCCCATCACCAGCCCAGCATCCCATCTTTGGGGGGACCACCAGCACCCCTTTCTAGGCCCACATGCTTTGTCACAAACAGTCCTAGCACCAGGGCCCTCACTTCTGGTCAACTATTCAGCCTTACCTTCAGTTATCTGCTTATGGTCTGCGTCTTCTACTCATATGGAGACTCCAGAGCATAATCATTGTTTTGCTCCCCTTTGTCTCCCTGGCACTGGGTGCAGTGCCTGGCATACAGTAGGACCCTGTTTTTGCAAGTGGTTGTGAGAAGACCCCCCCACCGTCGGGGATGGTACCAGCTCTGGGCCCTTGTATTGCATCTGTTCATGCTGGCCAGCAAAGCCAGGACACTAGGCAGGAGTGCCCAGGAAGGCCTGACGCCTCTCACCAGCCAGCTGCTTCTCCATGCTGGTCAGTGGCCGTGCCCCATCCTGGTTGTTCATTCGGCCCTTGTACAGGATCCCGTCCACTCCCAGGATGTCCACCTCGGCCTGTTGGATGGCCCAGGCCCCAAGTAAGGGAGTGTCCTTGAGCCTCTGTAGTATACACAGAGGCCCAGCAGACAGGGCATGGCCCCCCTGGGTTGTCCACCATCCAGGCTATGGCCTGACTCACAGTATCATAGTCCAACACCTCAGGGTCCCCATAGGGGTAGAGTGTCGACAAGTTATATGACTTGAGTTTGAAGTTGGCATCATTCCCAGGGCCATCGTTCCAGTCCTCCTGGTCTCCAAGGTCCTGAAGCTGCTGCAGCTGCTGCTGTTCCCTTGGACAGGGCAGGAGGGTCAGCAGCCGCCTGAAGTCCCCTCTACTCCCAAGGAGCCTAAGGCCAGGCCCTGAGGACCTGGCCAGTAACGAGGGAAGCCTGGAATTTCTTCCAGCTGATTTTGAGTGGTATAGCCAGGCAGGCCTGGGGCCTGGTGGGTGGATAGGAGCAGGCAGAGCAGGGGCAGAGGAAAAATCGAGGCCTACGTCCCCCCAGACCCCTGCCACCCCTGGAGGCCTGATCTGGCCTGCCAAATGTATGCTCTTAGCATCTTGACCTCCGGAAAGAATCAGGCAAGGGAAAGGAGCGCATGGGGCACAGGCCCCCGTGTCCCTCCCATTTGTGTGGCTGTCATTATTGTTTAGCAAAAATCCCTCACTCGCGGTGCAAGCACAATGAAGCTGTGGGATGTCCAGAGGGTGAAGGATGGCACTGGGACCCAGGGAACCAGCTGGGTCTGGTGGAAACGCTCATGTTTAGGTGCCAGCTCTGCCACTTACTACCTGTGACCTTGGGCAGGTTGCTTGAATTCTCTGAGCCCCAATTTCTTCAACTATGAAATGGAATGGTAACAGAATATACCTCAAAGGGCAAAGTGTAAGGATTTAATGCAGTCAAGTATGTCAAAGTGCTTAGCAGTGTCTGCCCAGTCACAGCAAGCCTCACTGTACTTACATCCTCCCTCAAGAAGCAGACACATTAATCCTAGCTCATAGAGGTTGCGAGATTTAAATAAGAAACTTTTCCCTAACGATTTTTGGCTCATGATAGATGCCCAATAAATATGTCCATCCTTTTCTTCGGTGATCATCTCACACACCTGTCTGTTGCCCCGGCTATCTCCCCCAAAAACTTCCCTTGCAGATGGCTGGCAATGCCCTGGGATAGTCTTTGGATCCTGGGACTAAAGTTTAGGTTTCTGCAGGGCCTCTGGGTCCTGAGTGACCTCTGTGGGGCAAAATCCCAGTCTGCTCACCTCATCTGTTGGCGCTGCAGGTACTCGTAGCTGTTGGCACTAGCTGGCCGAAGCCGCGACAGCAGGTGGGCTTTCCGGATGGTGATGAGGTGTCTGTTGGAGAACAAAAGTTCAATGGTAGGCATATGTGGCCAGCAGAGGGCGCTGGGCTCCCCCTTCTCCTGGAAACCACCCTCAAATTTGGCTGGAAATGAGACCACCCTGCAAGAGCTCTGGGGAACCCTGATAATCTTTGTAAGTAATAAAAAAAATTGTTCCAATTATAAAAGTAAAAACCAGAGTCCCGCTTGGTCCTCCTTGCTCGCCACCCGCGTGCCCGATCCGCACAGCCAAGCCCACTTCTCCCGGTCCGCACCGCCGCTGGCCCGCCGGTCCCCCACCACAGCCATGGACGCCATCAAGAAGAAGATGCTGATGCTAAAGCTGGACAAGGAGAATGCCATCGACCGCGCTGAGCAGGCCGAGGCCTACAAGAAGCAAGCTGAGGACCGCTGCAAACAGCTGGAGGAGGAGCAGCAGGCCCTCCAGAAGAAGCTGAAAGGGACAGAAGATGAAGTGGAAAAGTATTCAGAAGCAGTGAAGGACGCCCAGGAGAAGCTGGAGCTGGCCGAGAAGAAGGCCACCGACGCCGAGGCAGATGTGGCCTCCCTGAACCGCCGCATTCAGCTGGTAGAGGAAGAGCTGGACCGGGCACAGGAGCGTTTGGCTACAGCCCTGCAAAAGCTGGAGGAAGCTGAGAAGGCAGCTGATGAGAGGGAGAGAGGAATGAAGGTCATTGAAAACCGAGCCATGAAGGATGAGGAAAAGATGGAGCTGCAGGAGATACAGCTGAAGGAGGCCAAGCACATCGCGGAGGATTCAGATCGCAAATATGAGGAGGTGGCCAGGAAGCTGGTGATCCTGGAAGGAGAGCTGGAGCGCTCAGAAGGAAGAGCTGAGGTGGCTGAGAGCGGAGCCAGGCAGCTGGAGGAGGAACTTGGAACCATGGACCAGGCCCTCAAGTCCCTGATGGCCTCAGAGGAGGAGTATTCCACCAAAGAAGAAAAGTATGAAGAGGAGATCAAACTGCTGGAGGAGAAGCTAACGGAGGCTGAGACCCGAGCAGAGTTTGCTGAAAGGTCTGTGGCAAAGTTGGAGAAAACCATTGATGACCTGGAAGAGACCTTGGCCAGTGCCAAGGAGGAGAACGTGGAGATTCACCAGACCCTCGACCAGACCCTGCTGGAACTCAACAACCTGTGAGGGTTGGCCCTGCCTCCAGCCAGGCTATAGTTGCTGCCCCAACCCAATAAAACTAATGTTACTGGCAAAATAAATAAATAAATAAATAAATAAAGAAAAGTAAAAACCAGACACAGACCGGAGGTGGCCAGAGCTTGGGGGTAAGGGGAATGGATGTGACAGCTAACAGGTAAGTTCCTTCTGGGTTGAGAGAAATGTTCTGGAACTAGAGATGGTGACTACATAAAATTGTCAGTGTACAAAATGCCACCGAGCTGTTCGCTATAAAATGATTAACTTATGTGCATCTTACCACAAGAAAAATAGAAATAAAGAAAAACAGCAGCCTTCTGAGGAGCTGGAACTGTTCTACATCTTGATATGAGAGGTGGTTATGAAGGTGTGCACACACATTTACAAACTCATCAAGCCCTGGCCAGTGTGGCTCAATTGGTTGGAGCAATGTCCTATAAACTGAAAGGTGGCAGTTTCAATTCCTGATCAGGGCACATACTTAGTTTGCAGGTTCATTCCCCAGTCGGGGTGTGTGCAAGAGGCAACAGATCAATGTTTCTCTCACTCATCCATGTTTCTCCTCCTCTCTTCCCCCTCTCTAAAATTGATAATCATGTCCTTGGGTGTGGATTAAAAAAACTTATCAAGCTGTACAGTAAACATTTACATACTTTATTGTATGTATTTAAGCCACAATAAAATTTACAGTAATACACATTGATTGTCAGCATTTTAGAAAGCATAGAAAAGGACACATAAACAAAAAAGTACTGTAAACATGTGACACATATTTTGATATGTGTCTTTCCAGTATTTTTTGATGTTTATATATATATTTTTTAAACAAAAATTGGATCATAACACACCTACTACTTGATTTTCTCACTTAAATTATTGAAAAACTTTTCCAGGTCATTAATATTCTTGTATGACTGTGCTCACCAATATGGCAGCCACTGACCACATGGCTACTTAAATGAACTAAATTTAAATAAAATTTCAAATTCAGTTTCTCAGTCATGGTAGCCATATTTCAAGTGCTCAACAGCCACAGTGGCCAGTGGATTCTGAATTGGACATCACAGCAGTAGATCATTTCCACATCTCAGAAGGTCCTGTTGTGTGGTTTCTTCTACAGCATTATCTGTATTGGCTGATATCAATGTACTGTAATTCATTTACCACTTCAGGTTGTTTCCTTTTTTCTTTCTTTTTTACTAGTATAACTAATACTGCAACTAGATATCTGTTGTTTGAAAGAAAAATTCTGAATATAGGTCCAAGCCCCTCAATGGCTATGGACTGGCATGGGGGTGTTGATGAGCTTCATGGGTCCACAGGGCCAGATCATCACCGCAAAGGCCATGGACATGCTAAGATCCTAGCTCTTCAACCATATTAGGGGAGTGTTAGGAAGGTCCTCAAAAAGTTAACCATAGAGTTACCATATGACCAAGCACTTCCACTCCCAGGTTCATACCCAAAAGGATTATAAACAAGAGTTCAAACAAATATATCTACATGCATGTTCATAATAGCACTATTCATAAAGGTCAAAAGGTGGAAAGAACCCAAATGTCCATCAATGTACAAACTGATCAACAAAATGTGGTCTATCTGTACAATGAGATAGTATTCAACCACAAAAATAAATGAGGTACTGGCACACACTGCTATAACATGGATGAACCTAAAAAACATTATGCTCAGTGGAAGAAGCCTCTCAAATACCAGAGACAATAGATTGTATGATCTAGTCTATGAAATGTCCAGCATTGGACAAACCTATACACAGAAGTAGATTCGAGGTCGTCAGGGGCTGGCAGGGGCAGGTAAGAGAAATGATTGCTTAATAAGTCTGGGGATTCATTTTGGGACAATAAAAATTTTTTGGAAATAAAGGTAGTGGTTGCACTTTATGGTAAATGAACTAAATGCCACTGAACCATTCACTTTAAAATGGTTACTGTTATGTGAATTTCACATCAATAAAGTATTAGACCATATAAATGCATGCAAGAAATTCCCACAAAGTTCTGCTTTCCCTTACAGTTTTCTTTTATCATCATCATCATTATTATTTATTATTATTTTAAATCCTCACCCAAGGATGTATTTATTGATTTGAGAGAGAGAGAGATCAATCAGATGCCTCCTTCTTGACCAGGGATCGAACTTACAAACTTTCAGTCTATGGGGTGATGCTCCAACAAACAGAGCTACCCAGCTAAGGCACCATTATGTTTCTTCTAGAGTTGACCCAGTCTCTAGGACAGTGGGCTCCAGACGGCTGGTGAAGAAAGGAAGGAATGGTGGTGGCTCGCTCAGGGACAGGGAGCAAATGATGTGACGTCTACAGGACAGGTAAGTGAATGTGCATGTAAATGATGTTTCTAGAACCCTTCAGGCACCTAGGGGGGTGTGTGCTTGCCTGTCCGTCCCAAAGAGAGGGTAGGCGCGGGCGCCCCCTGGCGGCAATACTCACGGGCCAGTCATCATCTCCACAGGCCGGTCGCAGGAAATGCATTTCACCCGCTCAAACAGTTTCCTGGAAGACAGCCATTCATCAGCTGTGGCACTCCAGTCAGGCCCTGTGAGGGTGCTGCTTGGGGGAGGGTGCAGGTCTGTCTGTGCATCGGGGTCAGGACTTCCACCCACATCCTACACCCACTGGCCTGGCCCAGCTCAGCTCAGTTCTGCTGGCCTCAGCTGACCCCCATTTGCAGCCTCCTGGGGCAGAGGTGAGGAAATAAAAGGGTGTGTAGTGTATCTCCTGCCCTAAACATAACAGAGATCTTTAAAACCAGAGACCTTCTGGAAAGCTAACCTTCACAGTAGACACAGTAGCCTTCACAGGGTCATAAGGGGTGATCTGAGGACAGGAGATCCCAGGGACATTAAATCCCTCTGTATGCGGGGTGCTGTCTGGATGGGGGCAGAGGACCTGGCTGTTTTCCCAGATCCATCCAGGCTCCCACCTGCATGGCTCCTTCCCTCCCCGAACCTCCTCATTTGTGGCAAAAGAGCTTTGGAGCAGATGTGCTCCTGGAGCCCTTCTGCCAACCAAGACCAGAGCTGCCCACATCTGAGCACCAGGGTGCTCACAACCTCATTCCAAACCCTTTCCACACCCAGCTGGGAAGCCCAACCCCCTCTCCCCAAGTCCATAGGTCTGGAATTTTAGCTCCCAGAATCCTCTGGGATCCCCCTCTTGCTTCCTCCCTGGAGAGAGGGTCCCCCAGCGTCCAAAAGCCCCACCCCTACCCAGAAAGGGCTCACTTCCTAAAGCCGGCAGCTCTGTCTGGGTCAAATCGGAGGCCTTCAATTAGCAGCTTCCTGACTGCTTGCCAGACCTCATTTACGTCTTTCTTTAGATCATCCAAATCCCTGCGGACCAGCTGCAATAGCCAAAGGGAAAAAAAGTGTTCAGTCAACTAATTCACACCCTGCCCCTCTCCAGAAAAAGATTTGCAGTAACCTGCAAAGTGACATAGAGTATGACAAGATTAAACAGAAAAAGTGAGGTGGTTTAGGAAAAGGAACTGACAAAGCTTGGGTTAAGGTTTATACTCATAAGGCTCGCTAATGCTAGAGGGAAGCTGTCAAGTGACCTTACCAGTGTGCAAGGCAAAGAAACAACGTCAGCTACTGCCTACATATGATAAAACCAATCCTATGCTCAACTACAGGCCTGCTGGCCCAAGAAACATTTCTCTCAATGGTCCCTAGACAATCTACATTAACACATTCAACACATATTTACTGAGTGCAATGTATACATTCAATGGCTTTTAATATATTCACATAATTGTACAACCATCAAATAACCACGCTCAATCTTGTAACATTCTCATCACTCCCAAAAGAAACTTCATACACATTATCAGTCATCCTTCATTTCCTCCTAGACGCTCAGGGATAAGCAACTACTAATCTATTGTACTTTGTCTCTATAGATTTGCCTATTCTGAACGTTGCATAAGAATAGAATCACACAGTCTGTGGCCTTTTTTGTCTGGCTTCTTTCACTGAGTATAATGTTTTCAAGTTTTATCCCGGTTGTAGCATGTATTAGTAGTACTTCATTCCTTTTTATGGCTGAATAATGTTTGATGTTATTGCTAGACTATATTTTGTTTACCCATTCATCCGTTGATGGACATTTGAGTTGTTTCCATTTTTTAGCTATTATGAATAATGCTGCTATGAACATTCTTATACAAGTTTTTACATGGATATAAGTTTTCTCTTCTCTTGGGTATATACCTAAGAGTGGAAATGCTAGGTGATATGGTAATTCTGTATCTAACTTTTTGAAAAACTGCCAAACTCTTTTGTAAAGTGGCACTTCCGAATTCTTTAAGTGTTCCTTCCAGTGCCCAGATTTTGGTCTCTAAACGCCATTCCCCACTGAAAGGAACCAGGACTCCATAGAGATATAGCTGATTTAGGTCTGAGGAAGAGAATGTTGACAATAAGCCTGGAACATCTTGTCATTTAAGAAAAAAGACAGATTTCTAATGACAGAGGGTCCAGTCGAAAGGTTCAGAAGCCAGCTCGCAGGCCAAAGGTGAGACAACATGAGTGACAAAATAAATAGTAACTTAATTCATTGAATGAATTGAATATTGCATATATAAAAATCCATGATTTGTGGTGACACTCATGATGAAGAAATAAAAAAATAAAAATAGAAACCCTCATTTGCCACCATGTTTTGGACGTGCCTATTTCCATCAATATCTAACCCTGAAAACTGTCATAAAAGAAATAATTCATCATTGTTTTTTTTCTTTCCTGACAGAACCATATTTCAGGGTAATCAGCTCAAACTGATGAAGGAAAGCTCTTCGCAGATTTCTAGCTAACAAATGTAAAAGCTACATCTGCCTTGCTCCTGTGAGTCACTCATTTTGACAGAAGTCAGCTGCAATGTTGTGAGGCTACTCAAGTAGCCCTAAGGAGTTCACAGGATGAGGAATGAGGAGCCTTGCCCACAGCCATGGAAGGTACCACCTTGGAAGTGGTTCCTCCAGTCCCAGTTAGACATTCAGAGGACTGCAGCCCCAGAGGACACCTTGACTGCAACCTCATGGGAGACCCAAAGCCACCCAGCTAAGCTATCCACAAATTCTTGACCTTCAGAAATTAAAGGCTTGTTGACTGAAGCTGCTAAATTCCAGAACAATTTGTTATGCAGCAAGTGATAGCTGATACAGGGGAACTCACCTTGGTACCCAGGGCCTTGCTGAGCTGCTCCACAGCCTTCTTCCAGTCATCCTCATGGGACACGACCCTGAACAGCACGCCCTGAATCATCTCATTCAGCTCCGCCGCCACCGCCTCCAGGTCAACCCGGCCTGCCTTGCCTGCCAGGCTGCTCCTGTCGGCCTTCTAGAGAGAGAAGGGACTCAGAAAAGCAGAGCTGCTGGGGTGCAGCAAGGGGAAGCTAGGGGAGATCAGACCACTTTGGTCAGTTGTTTCACATTTGGGACACTGGACGTCTAGTGGTCATCTTGGCTTTAATTCAGTCCTGGGGTCTATGTTGACTCAAAGACAACTGTCAGATCTAAGTCAAGGGTTTTCTGTAACAGAGAAGTTGGTGCATGATTTTTAAAGTCACGTAACACGTTGTCACTAACCCTGAGTCACTGAAAATAGGAGTTGATGGGACAACTTTTGAGAAGCTTCCCCAGCTTTTCTGCATGATTAAAACTCTGTAGTCTCTCTGCCAGGATTTGTCTTGGCTGATTGGTTCCATTCTCTGGGTGGCAGAGCTGGGGCTCAGGATGGGGGAGCAGCAGGGGGGACAGGAGTCTGCTCACTTACCTCTTTCAACTCCTGCTCCATCACACTTTTGTCCGCCTTGTGCATTTCTAGGTCTTTTATTTGAGCATGGAGAATCTAAGAACGAAAGCAAAGGGCATGCCAGCCAAACTGGGAAGCCCTGAGAACAATGCCCACCTCTCCCCTCCACCCTTGCTGTGGGACACTGCGGCCAGGTGGACAGCAGGTAGGGTGGGCACATGGGAAGGCTTGGCTCCTGGACTCCTGGTGCCCAGATTAGAAGGAAAGAAACGTGGGACTTGGGGAAAGCTGTCCTGTTGGAGATGGGCATAGCAACTTGGTTGCATAGGGAGACAGACCAGAGGAAGGAAAGCATAAACCAAAGCTGATGCTTTGGCTGCCCAGATGTTTAAGGCAAGGTCATCTCTTCTGATCTGTAATGAGGTCCCAGTGAGAATCAGTCTATTCACCAACCAAGCACTTACATGTCACACACACTGGACCCCATTGGCAAGGGAAAACTCCTACTTCCATCCCCATGACTCCACAAAGATCCAATTCTCTCCATTAACTCTGCCCTTTCTCCACTTACTGGATCCTCACAGTGGGTTAGGAAGAGCCTCACACCCACTGGGCCATGTCCCCAGAGGTCACTTTTCCTCCAAAGTGGAACATAGGCTTCTATTTCTCCCTTCATAGCTGGTCTTCCTCTCACCCTTAGCAACAGAACCTCCAACTTTTAGCTGGCATCTGACCTCCCAAAATCCTGATTATATTTCACAGCCTCCTTTACAGCTTGGTGTGACCCTTGGGGTAAAAATGAAAGTGGGCAGGTGTCTTCTTAGCTGCTGGCTTGAATGCAGAGTTAATGTATAGAGCACCAGCAGCCACCTTGGAACTTGTGGAGACCTTGTGAATGGAAATCACACACCGTGGAATTCTAGACCAGCTCTAGATCAATCATCTCTGACTTGCTTGTTTTTCTGAGTTACCTTGTTTCCATCAGTTATTTGGGGGTTTATGTTATTTAAAGTTGAACCAATTCTAATTAAGGCAAAGCTCCATCGCATCTTCTTGCAAAGGGAAAGTAATGTTTTCCATCGAGTCAAAAAGAGAGTTCTCTCCTTATTTTCCTGCTGTATTCTCAGAGTGGGAAACACTCTAATAGATGCACTCTAAGGTAATAGAAATGGCCCTGGCTGGGTAGCTCAGTTGATTAGAGTGTTGTCCTGCGATGCCAAGGTTGTGTGTTTGATCCCCAATGAATGTGCAAAAAAGTAAATGAACAGATCAATGTTTTTCTCTCTCTTTTGCCTCCTCTCTTTCTCTAAAAATCAATCAATAAAAATTTAATAGGGTGATGGACATGTTTCCAACTTGATTGGGTGGTGGTGACATGGATATGTAAATAAGCAAAAATTAATCCACCTGTTATACTTGAAACTTGGGCATTTCACTGTGCATAAAGCATACTTTGACCAAAAACACAAATACCACTGCTTACTTCCAAACACAGAAGAGCCTAGATGGTGCCTGTCTTGTTGACTGTTGTATCGCCAGGCCCTAGAAGTATGTCTGGTGGAGAGTGAAGGCTCAGTAACATTGGCTGAATGACTCAATGAATGAATAAGAGTTTTTGTGTCACCTGTTATGGTCATAACATTTTCTCGCAGACATCCAGCTAAAGCAGTAACACCTATTCCAGATGTGTCTGTACAGCCTCATTTCTCTACTGTAAGGGCTCAACAAGGGCTGCTGATCTCTTGCACACGTTCGTTTAAGATATATTTAATGAAATATGTGTTATATATAAAGTGTGTTCTTCCAGGTCCTCCCAGGGTTAACTTTCATAAGCAATTACTCCTTTCTTGTTGGCACAAAGGACAGGAAGGTAGTTACCTTGAGACAAAGGCTGCCTTGATCCATTTGGTGCTGTTTGGTTGGTCCTCATCCTCTGGAGTTTCTCCCAACAAGCAATGACTACTTGGAGCCAGATACTGTGACTTTTCTTCCCCCCATGCGTGCAGGGCAGGGCATAGTGCTGGGCACACGAGACATGTTTAATGAATTGGCTCATCATCGAGGAAGGGCATCAATATATCGCTAGGACGTGACAACACAGCCTCTTTGAAGCAGTGATGAAAAAAGGCCCAGAGTCGGCAACTGATGCTGTTGTTCTTGACCTTGGTACTCACACAGGCCTATAGCTCTCGTCTCCTCTGTCCACACACAGCCCTGGAGCTCTACCTTCAACCTACACTTAGGCTGGGAACTGGTTCACTGTCTGAGTTGCCCTGTATAGGTCCTTCCCTTTTGCCTCCCACATCCTACTGCATCCTACCAATAGTCTCCTGACAGGGAATCAGAAGCCCTCACGGAAACCACCTTAGTTAATTCTTTGGGACTTCTTCTCTTTCTACTCTGGGAGAAGGTCATCTCCTACTGGGAATGACCTTGATCCCTTCTCCAAATGTCTGTCCTAAGGTGCAGCTCAGCAAGTCCGAACCCCTGCGGCTCATGGAGGTGTTTGGTGGCGTGAGCCCCTGGTAAGTGCTCTGTATCGCTTCCACCCTGCTCATGTCAGCAACTCTGCCGTTCCGAAAAGGCCTTCCGGCACTGATCAGTCAGAAACAAGGTGGTGTGGGGGAAAGTTATGAATGCAACAGTTGGTGCAAGAAATCGTCTGATTCACTGGATTCTTTCAACACATTTTGAGCTCTCATTCCCTGCCAGACCCCCTTCCAGGGGTGGGTGACCCAGTGGTCAACAAGACAGACACCATGTAGGCCCTTCTGTTCATGTGTTTGTGCACATGTTGGGGGAGGTGGGACTTGTTTGTTTTTAATTGAAGTGTAATTTATGCACAGGAAAATGCCACTAAAATTTTCACTGGTTCCCCTGCCTTCGGTGCATTTGTAAAACCTTGGAGAGGGTCTGATATCCCGATGAGGAATTGTCCCCTCAGCTGCCCGTCCTGGGACCCCAGACCTCCGAACCTTTAAATCATCCAGGCGAATCTGGATTTTTTCCACTGCCCTGTCCAGCACGATGTGGTGATCCTTTATCATTGCTATTTGGTGGCCCCAAATTCTCTCAAGTTCCTCCTCCTAAAAGGGGGAGACACAGACATCCTAGGCCTCTGCTGCTGAGGTCACCATGGGCGAGATGGGGCTTGAAGAATGTACCAGTGTGTCCTCAACCTACCATCTTTTTTTTTTTTTCCCAACCCGCCATCTTACAACCACCTAGGACACGTGATCACACACTGGGACCTCTGCACCAGCTGAGCCGTTCGTGGGGCTGCAGCTGCCTCCTCAGCCCCTCACTGTCCCAGGCCTCCTTTTAGCTACAGGACAAATGCTCCATCTGGTTCTGGGTCATAGTCTGACATCGGCATGTCTCACGTCACCATCTTCTTAGTAAAAGCTCTTTCTGCCCGAAATACTGACCTGCATCCTGGATTTCTGGAGATTGCCAATCGTTTCTTGCAGTATGTCCACTGATGTCCCAGTCTTAGAAGAGACTCCCACACTAGCTGAAATCAAAGGAGTGGGTGGCTGTTGGGGCAGGGATGGGGGAAGGTGCTTTGTTTAGAGCCCCACCTGCTCCTGTTATGAGATGCCTGAGGCAGCGCTGTCCAATAGAGAGATATTGTGCTGTGAACCTGGGGGCCTTAGAGGTCATTTAAAATTTTCTAGTAGTCATATTTTAAAAATCTAACATGAAGCAGGTGACATTAATTTTAATAAAATATTTTATTTAACCCAATAGATCTTAAATAGTATCATTTAAACATATAATAAAAATTATTAATGAGATATTTTACATTCTTGTTTCTGTACTATGCCTTCAATATCCATGCTGTGCCTCCCACTTAGAGCACATCTGACCTTGAACTCGCCCCATTTCAAGTGCTCAACAGCCATGCGTGTTTCCAGGCATCATATTAGACAGAGCAGATCTAGGGAAAATGCTCCAGAATTAACTATAAAAAAAAACAACCACAATTAACTCCCCTCCCCAAAATGACCCTTAGCAAAACTATGAAGTACCTTGTTTATAAGTATATTATTCACTGCAAAGGAAGATTTAACAAAAGAAGAGAGGGGTAAAAAAAAACAACAACACTGCTAGGGACGGTTGGGTAGATGTGGAAGGGAGGATAGAGGACATAAATGGTAATGAAAAAAATAATGTAAAAAAAAAAAAATGCTGTGTTCAGTTCCAGATGAGAGGCCAAAAACTAACGTGCAGGCCAGAGCTAGGGATGTATGAAAAATCGCAGCCAAGATATGTTTACAACCTAACTATAGTTTTCTTAATAAAAATAGAGCTGGTCAGAGGTAGACTTTGGGCTATTACAGCTTTACATTTTAAATTTAAATTCATTACTTAGCTATGCCCCAGTATTCACTGATATCAATGTAGGGTTTTTTGTTTGTTTGTTTTTAATTCCAGAGAGAGGGAAAGGGAGGGAGAAAATCATCAGTGTGAGAGAGGACCATCGATCAGTAATTGCCTCTTTCACTGACCACACCTGGGGACTGAACTCACCACCCAGGCATGTAACCTGACCAGGAATCAAACTGGTGACTTTTTGGTTTGTGGGATGACGCCCAACAAACTGAACCACGCCAGCTAGGATTCAATGTGATTCTTTGTAGCCATGCAAAGTTCTTTTTCTTTTCAAGATTTGTGAAACAGCAGCTGCCCATGACGGGCAGTATCACACACAGGTTGGACTAAGGCTAGTTCAACTATTATACTCGGCAGAGAGCAAAACAGCAAGATAATGATTTAAAGAGGGTAGGGAAATGGATCTCAAAGTGGGTCCCCAGGCTAGCAGCATCAGCAGCATTTCCCCAGGAAGGGTTAGAAATGCACATTCTTGCCCTCACCCTCCTGCCATAGCCTGAGTCAGACCCTGGGGATGGGCCCCACAGTCTGTGCTTCACCAAGCCCCCAAGGGGGTACTGAGGTGAGTTCAAAGTTGAGAACTGCTAAAGTGGGCCACTGTGCCCCTCCATACCCCTCAGTGAGCATATGCCCATCGTGGGCATGAAATGAAGCATAAATCTGCCGGTCCCACTGCCACCCAGAATGTGACTATGGTCTTTAAGGATCTACATGTTCGCCCAGCAGTTGTTCCTAATCCCAACCTAATCACTTCATCTCATGTCTGTTTGGTGCTTTTGGACACTTGGGAGGATCTGGGTTTATCAAAACACTGTACAGTAGTACTGAATTTTATGGGCTATTGAAAGGGAGATTTTCAAGGGTAATTTTGACATGAAATTTTCCTCTTCAAGCACCAACTTTAGACTCTAACTGCCCCTTTGTGCTAAGATAAGACCTCACCATACATTCATTGTAAAGAATAGACTAGACTAGAAAGAGGCTAAATGCTTACACCAAAGGGATAAATGATGAATGGCTGAACATAGATTTTGTTGGGGCAGTTAAACAAAGGAGAGGAGGTGCTTTTCGAAGGCCATGGGGAGGGCCTAAGCCCTTACCACCCTTCCCAGAGCCTATCCAGGCCTACCTAGATAACTTAGGCACTGTTGCAGGTTGGTTGACAGCTGGGCAAACTCTTCTTTCAGGGAGTTATGTCTAACAGGCATCTGGGCTATGTGGCTCATGGAATATTTCACGGCCGCCTTCTTGTCTTCGGGGGTCACAGCATTTTTGGCAGCCAGCATGGACTGGGAGACGGCAGTGTCAGGAGGGATAAAGGCAGCAGCATATGAAGAAATGTCTTCGTAGTCTATATCCTGCAGGTCTTCCATCTCGGTGTCACTGGCAAAGGTCATGGAGCCTGTGGCCCCACGGGAAGACCCAGCACCCACAACATCTGCAAAGACCCCTAAGGGCCCAGATGTGGCCAGAGTTGTTGCTACTGTGGCCAGTTTGGTGGCAGGGGCATCCTTGACAAGCCTGGCAGCGATCTCAGCTGCCCGGGCTGCTGAGCTCGCGGCAGCTGCATGGGCAGCGGCAGCAGCGGCTGCCATGGCAGCAGTGTTTTTTATCCGTTGCAGGGCAGACTGGGGACTCTTAGGGGATACTTCCTTGGGTGCCTCAGCTCTGGGGGCTCTATCTTGAGGGATTTTCATGTAATGTGAGTAATCTTCTTCCCTATTTTCTGAGACAGCTTGGAGCTGGTCCACCTCAGACTGGCGAGGCTGTGACCACTGTGGACGAGGCCAAGCGGGGCCAAGCTCTGTGGCTGGTGGTGGGGCCCTGAAGCCCTGGGGTCGAGCAAATAGAGGGCCCAAGGGGCCTTGGCCAGGCCGGAAGTAATCTAGGCCCCAGAAAGGCCCAGTGTTAGGCCTGGGCAAGCCTCTGGGAGGAGGCCAGTTACCTAGCAGTAAAGGCCAGAATCCTAGTGGTGTTGGCTGAGGGCTTGGGGCAGGCCCAGGTCCAGGTCCGGGGGCAGGCCCAGGTCCGAATGCAGGCCCAGGTCCAGGTCCAGGGGCAGGCCCAGGTCCGAACGCAGGCCCAGGTCCAGGTCCAGGGGCAGGCCCAGGTCCGAACGCAGACCCAGGTCCGAATGCAGACTCAGGTGAAAACACAGGCTGAGATCCAGGGTCAGTCCTAGGTATGAACGTAGGCCAAGGTGCTAGTGTGAACCCAGGTGCCAAACTGGGCCCCGGCGTGGGTCCAAATGCAGGCATGGACTTAGGTTCTGGCCCTGGCATAGAACCAGGCCCAGGTTCAGGTGCAGGCCCAGGCTTGGCTACTGGCCCAGGCTCGAGCACCTGAGGCTGGCCTAAGCCCTGGGCCCCGGTGAGTGGAACTGCCTGGGCAGACTCCTCCTCCTCCTGTAGTTTCCCCAGGTCCTGGTAATGCCAAATGGTCTCCAGGAGCTTGGGGAGTTGGACAGCCTCTATGACCTGTCTTTGACCAACATTTTGAAGGTAGTTGGTCTGGGAAAGGTCGGTCTCTGGGAGCTGCTCTGCCACCTGCCACAGATCAGAATCTTCCATCGGTAGTGAAGCAGGTCCCTGTGGGGAAGCTCCCTGCGGAAAAAGGAGCTGGGCTGGCCAGGACTGCTCCAGGCCAGCTCAGCGGTCATCCTGCCTCCTCCCTCACACCTCCTTCCACTTCCTCTCTCCTCCTTCCCTTACCGGGGTGAACATAGCCTCGTGGAGGCCACTCCAGAGTACCATGTCCTCAGTTTTGGGGATGGTGCGAATCTTGTTCTGGAGAGTAATCTGGGAGGTTAAGGAGGGGGTCGGGAATGAGGGACAAGGACCTGGAGGGTCTGATACCTTTGGGTGAATCCCTCATCCACAATGTCCTCCACACTTGCAAATAAATGGGCCTTTCCAGATTGTGTTCCCCTCCTCAACCCTCCCAGTCCTAGGCACTCCTGGGCCTGGAGGTCAGGGGACTGGGGTGAAGAACGGGACTAAGGCCCTCACCATGTCCCGCTGCAGTGCATTCATCTTCCGGCTCTGCCCTTTCAAATCATCAAAGAAAGTGTCTATTCTTTCCAGCTGTATCTGTCAAATGAGTCAAACCCATGGGTTAAGAGTGCAACTTCTGGGCTCCAGCCCTGCTTGCTTGTCTCCCCACTCAAATACAAGGATTTAGCTCCAGGGGACTAAGAGTTGGAGAAGGAAGAAAAAGTGTTTCCCAGAGGGTGAGAAAGGGGTAGAAAAGGGTTCCCTGGGCAAACAAGTTTGGAAAATGTTGGGCTTAAAAGCCTTCAATGGGTTTTTGTACTGTAGGACTCCTCAGAGCTTTTAATGGACATTAAAAATCTCTAAGAGGTATGCTGAGAAGGCATTGTTTCTCAAACAGATTTGTCCAAGGGTCCTTTTTAGTGTTTCATGACACAGTTTCCTAACAGTGCCCTTTCTGCTCTGATGGGAGCTACCTAGCCCAAGACTGAAGTTCTCACAGTTTCTCTGACAATCAAATACATACACTGACCTGTGCATTAGGAGCAATAATGAATTCATGTAATTTGGAGGTTGGCCGTAACACTTTAGCCACAATACCAACTTGAGGGGCATGTAGAGCTGGCTTCTTAGCCCAACTCTGACTCCTCAGCTATGAGATCACACTTCAGAAATGCCATGTCCTTCTACCTCATGATAAGGAGTTAGAACATGCCTGGGTTGAGGTACTTGTGGCTACAGAAGGAGCTAGCACATAGGCCTGTGCTAGGTTTAGTCCACTTGTCAGTGTAAACAGAACTTTCTAGAAGAGGAAGAGGTGTTCTCTTTCTCCTAAGTTGAGGGAATATAAGCCTGGAATAGCCAAGACTTAGGAAATACCTACCTACCTAAATATGAAGCCAACCCAGAGGAAAATTATCAGAAAGAGAGGTGTTGATGTGGTATGACCACCTAGATCTAGCTGTACCTGAAGACATCCTGGACCTTTTACCTAAGCCAGAATGAACCAAGTTTCTGTCACTTGCAAATAGTGTCCTAACACCACAGAGTGAGAAGCACAGGATGGTGGAAGCCATGGAGAGTTCAGGGGGATGGGCCAAGTGACTAGACTATGTCAGCCTCCATCTGCTGCCCCCATGGCTGTGTCCTTTGACTAAGAACAAGTTTCCTAGATTTATTCTGTGACCCAACCACCAGCAGTCCAAGCAGCATGGCCAGCTTGGAGGATGATGGGGAGGGTCTACCTTATTAAGCATGTCTTTCAGCTTGTCCACATCCTTCTTGAGGGTTTCAGTGGTGACCTTGAGTGCATTAATGTCAGAGAGCAAATCCTGCAAGGTCTTCATGGACTGAAGAGGGAGAGAGGAGGAGAAAACACAAAGTTGGGTGTGGCTGGTGGAGTAGAGAAGTAAACTGTGGAAGCTCTCTGATGATTGCCATGGTCTAAGAAATCTTCTTCGTTCTTCTAAGGCCTAGGCTGGAACATACTTAGAGGCCAGCAAGTGACACTTGAGTCAACAGTGCTCTGAGCGCTCAAGTAGCCAGGGTGAGAAGGAGGCAATCCTATATTTGAATGTATTCAGTAATCAGGTGTCACTCATTAAAAAACATCTCATGCCCTTTGGTAGGAGCCATGGGAGGATCAGTAGAGTTATAATTGGAGTTCTATTTTTAAAGGGTCCTCCTGGCTGCATGTGTAGAGGACAACACGGGTAGCTGGAAGACCAGTGAGGAAACTTTAGGCAAGAGCAGATGGGTGCATGCTGGGCTCATAGCTCAGTTTTATCACTGACTGGAGCTATTACTACATCTTTGTAAGGTTCTGATTTCTCAATCATAAAATGGGTATAAAAATGTGATAATGTATATAAAGGGCCTAATGTATAGTTAGGCATTTGGATAACAAAAATAACAAATAGCAAAATGGCAGAAATCCTTATTATTAATAATTATATTAAATGTAAATGGATTAAAATTTCTATTAAGTGGCAAAGACAGCAGAATTAATTAAAAACATGATCCAAACTCATGATGTCTATAAGAGACATTTTAGCTTCAAATGTGCAGATAGGTTGAAAATAAAAAGATATAAAAAGATACATTATGCTAGCAATATCCAAAAGAGAACTGGAGTGGCTATACTAATATCAGACAAAATAGACTTTAAGACAAAAATTGTTACTAGAGACACAGGGGGACATTTCTAATGACAAAAGTGTTAATCCATCAGGAATATATATTAAGCAAAATATATATGCACCTAACAATGGAGTCCCAAAAAGCATGAAGCAAAAACTGGCAGAAATGAAAGGAGAAATAGATGATTCAACAAGAATAGTTGGAGACTTCAATACCCCATTTCCAATAATGGATAAAACAACTAAACAGATAAGCAAGGAAATAGAACGATTTGAACAATGCTATAAACCAATCAGACATAACAGATATCTGTAGAAAACTTCGCTAAACAACGGCAGAACACACATTCTTCTAAACACACATAGAACACTCTATAGGATGGACCATAAGCTAGCCATAAAAACAAGTCTCAATAAATTTAAAAAGGACTGAAATAATACAAAAACGTGTTCTCTAATCACAATGGAATGCAATTAGAAATCAATAACAGGAACTATTAGATATTCACAAATATGTGGAAATCAACAACATTCTCCTAAATAACTAATGGCTCAAAGAAGAAATCACGAAGGAAATTAGAAAACACTTTGAGATGAATTAAAATTAAAACACAACACACAAAAATTTATGGGATGCAGATCAAGCAGTGCTTAGAGAGAAATTATAGCTGGATGTGACTATATTAACAATGAAGAAAAATCTCATTGCATGCCTAACCTCCTACCTTAAGACATTGGAAAAAGCAGAGCAAACTAAACCTATTGCAAGTAAAAAAAAAAAATGAAACAATAAAGACTAGAGTGGAAACTAATGAAACAGAGAATAAAAAATTAGTAGAAGAAGTCAATGAAACTAAAGCATGTTCTTTGAAAACATCAACAAAATTAGCAAACTTTTAGCTAGATAAACCAAGAAAAAAAAAAGAAGCCTCAAATTACAAGAATCTGGAATGAAAGAGGGAACATTACTATTGGTCCTACAGAAATAAAAACAGCTATAAAGGAATGTTGTGAACAATTATATGACAACCAATTAGATAAATTGGATGAAGTCAACAAATTCCTAGAGAGACATTAAACTACCAAGCCTGACTCAAGAAGAAATAAATAATCTGAAAAGTCCTAAAACAAGTGAAGGGATTGAAATAGTAATTACAAAAAAATAACACAAAGAAAGGTCTAGGCCAAAACAACTTCACCACTGATTTCTATCAAATATTTAAATGAGAATTAATACCAATTCTTTACAAATGTTTCCAAAAAATAGAAGAATCCTAAACTCATTCTATGAGGCCAGTACTAACTTTTTTTTTTTTTGGACAGAAGGGAAGGGAGGGAAACATCAATGTGTGGTTGCCTCTTTTGCATCCCCTACTGGGAACCTGGCCCACAACCCAGGCATGTGCCCTGACTGGGAATTGAACCAGTGACCCTTTGGTTCGCAGACCGGCACTCAGTCTACTGGGCCACACCAGCCAGGGCTTAACTTGATACAAAAATCAGACAAAGATATAATAAGAAAACTAGAATATGGATTTAAAAATCCTCAAAAAAATATTAGCAAACTGAATCCAGTAATATATGAGACAAATGACCCAATTTTAAAAAGGCAAAGATCTGAAAAGACATTTCTCCAAAGAAGATATACAAATGGCCAATAAGCATATGAAAAAATGCTCAACATCATTACCCATCAAAGAAATGCAACTCAGAATCACAATAAGATACCACTTCACACTCATTAGGATGGTTAGAATTAAAAGTCAGGTAATAGTAAATGTTGGTGAGGACGTGGAGAAACTGGAATATTCACACACTGCTGGTGGGAAGGTAACATGGTGCAGCCATTTTAGAAAACAGTGTGGTGGTTCTTCATAAAATTACACAGAGTAACTATATAACCCAGCAAGTCCACTCCTAGTAGACTTGGGTATAGTGGATATACCCAAGAGAAATAAAAATATAGGTCCATAAACTTGTACATGAATGTTTATTGCAGCTTCATTCACAATAGCCACACAGTGATAACAATCTAAATGTCAATCAACTGACAGATGGATAAACCAAGTATGATACATTCAGGAATATTATTCAACCACAAAAAGAAATGAAGTACTGATGTTACAAGAATGAATTTTGGAAACATCATGCTAAGTGAAAGAAGCCAAACACAAAAGACCACATATTGTATGATTCTGTTTATACGAAATGTCCAGAATATGCAAATCTAGAGAGACAAAAAGTAGATTAGTGGTTGCTAATGGCTGGGGGTAGGGTAAAGATTGAGGTATTAGAGTGGTGATAAAAAAGGTATAGGTTTCTTTTTGAGGTGATGAAACTATTCTAAAATTGACTGTGGTAATTGTACATATTCAACCCTTTGAATATAATAAAAACCATTGAATTGTATATGTTTTAAATGGGTGAATTGTATGGTATGTGAATTATATCTCAATGTTCTTGGATTGGAAGACTTATTCCCAAATTGATCTACAGATTTAGTTCAGTGCCTATAAAGATGTCAGTTAGTTCTTTTTTGCAGAAATTGGCAGACTGATCCTAAAATCCGTATGCATATGTAAGGGATTCAGTGTTGCCAAGCAGTCTTGAAAAAGAAGAACAAAGTTGGTGGACTCAGACTTCTTGATTTCAAAACTTTCTACAAATTACAGTGAACAAGCCAGTGTGGTGCTGGCATAAGGAAAGATATATAGATCAATAGAAAAAAACTGAGAATGCAGAAATAAACCCTCATATTTACAGTTCATTGATTTCTCAATGAATGCCAAAAACAATCAACAGGGAAAGAATAGCCTTCAACAAATGGTGCTGAACAGCTGGATCTCCACATGCAAAAGAATGAAGTTGGACACCTACCATTCACCATAGACAAAAGTTAACTTATAATGGTTAATAGATTTACGTGTAAAATAAAGTATTTACTCCTATGTTGTAAAAAAAAAAAATAGGAGTAAATCTTTGTGACTTTGGTTAGGCAATGTTTCCTTAGATACATCATCAAAAGCATAAGTGATACCCCTTTTTTCTCCAAAAAAGGGAGAAAATAAAAAGAGATAAGTGGGATTTCATCAAAATTTAAAACTTTGTGTATCAAAGGATACCTACCATCAAGAAAACGAAAAGACAACTCACAGAATGACAGAAAATATTTACAAATCATATACCTGACATCCCATATACAAAATATATAAAGAACTTTTACAAGTCAACAATAAAGACAAATAACCCAATTAAAAATGGGCAAATAATCTGAATAGACATTTCTCCAAAGATATAAAAATGGCTAACATGCACATGAAAAGACACTCAGCATCTTTAGTCACCAAGGAAACGCAAATAAAAAATGCAATGAGATAGATAGGCTTCACACCCAGTAGAGTGGTTATAATAAAAAAGACAGACAGTAAGAAGTGTTGGTGAGGATGTGGAGAAATTAGAACCCTCATACTCTGCTGACAGGAATGTAAAATGCATCATCTTTGGAAAACAGTCTAGTAGTTTCTCCAACTTGAAACATAGAGTAATCATGTGATCCAGCAATTCTGCCTCTAGGTATATACTCAAGAGAAATAAGAACTTATGTTCACAGAAAAACTCATACACCAATATTTATAGTGGCAATATTCATATAGCCTACAGGTGGATACAGCCAAATATCCATCAAATGATAAACAAAATTCCATACATTGAAATATTAATTACAGACTGCCTAAGGTCAGACAGGGACAACATCTGACATCATCAGAAGCAGATCCAGAAAGTAAAAACAGCGGTCTCCTAACATAGAAGTCCACACCACAAAGTCAGGAAATCAAGACAGATCCATTTAAGAAGCAGAAGCAAAAAAGAAGAGTCTCACAAATAATAGAAAGACAAAGAAATATACCCCACTCGAGGGAAAGGAGGAATCCCCACAAAGACAACTAAATGAAATAGAGGCAAGTAAATTATCAGATATTGAGTTCCAAACAACGGTTCTAAGGAAGCTCAATGAGCTCAGTGAGCTCAGAGAGAATTAAAAAAAAAAAACTACAGGGAAACTACAAGGAACTTACTGCAAACTGTATCAGCATGAAAAAGGACATAGAAACTATCAATAAGACACCAGAGGAAATAAAGAATACAATTTCTGAATTGAAGAACACAGCAGAAGGAATCAAAAGCAGGCTAGATGAAGCTGAGGATCAAAT